CTTTTGACCGCCTGGCACTTTGGACCCGCCTGCCACTTTTGACCCGCCTGGCACTTTTGAACCGCCTGGCACTTTTGAACCACCTGCCACTTTTGAACTGCCTGCCACTTTTAAAGCACCAGATGCTTTTTGACCATCAGCTAATTTTAAATTATGTGTTATTATTAACTGTGGTATACACCATTTGCTGGAATTTTTAATTGGCCAATTTAGGGAACTGTTTCTCTGCGTATCATTCCATTGCCTTGTTTCATTTTTTTTCTGCCTGGAGAAATATCAAGAAAAGCACTGCTCATTTTGAACACTGAAAGCGCAGCCCATGTACTTCCTCTTGATTTTTTGTGAAATTCGTTTGGTGAGATTTGTTTTTCCAAGATTTTACAATGGTGTACACTGACTTTAAAAATCAGGTCAGTGACCATGTCAAAGCAGTCATTTGAACTTAGGAGTAATTTTGCCAGCAATCTTCAGAACTGACTGCTGGCACTCAGCTCCAAATGTAAACCGCAGCCAGGATGACTGGGCATCCATTCTGTGGTCTTGCAACTACTGTAAAACTTACTACAACCAGCCTTCACTTTTGCTCGCTGCACTGTCTTCTTTTGATCTCTCTTCCGTCCTGCATTACCTCACTCTACTCTGTGTTTCTGTCCAGTCTTCATTGACCTGCATTACTTAGCTCCTTCCCCTTCATTTTCCTCTTTCTTTGCCACAGGTCTCAAAGCTGGTGCTATTGTTGGCATCGTTCTCGGCGTCCTGGTGGCTGTCCTCCTCGTCTTCATTGCAGTGTTCTTCTTGGTGACCCGCAACCGAGCCCAAAAGGGCCCCGCCCAAGCTGGCGACCTCACAGCTCCGGGATTCGACAATGTGCTGTACTCCACCTCCGGAGGACAGATCAAGTACCCCGAGCCGTCTGAGGTCAGCAAAGAACCAGCGGATGCATCAAGTGCTTGATGCTGACCTGTTGACCTTCATGCAATTCTAACAGTTCCACTTTTTTTTGTTGGTTTTTAGTGGTTGAAACACTTGAGATTACTCCCACACACAGATTAACATCTCACAGGCTGCTCTTCGAAAACTTGGGTATCATATTCAGCAAATTATGGAATTCTGATGATTTGCCAAAGATTTGTATCCCATCATTTTAATACATAAACCCCGTTTCTTTGTATAGTAGGATGTACTTTCAAAAATAACTGCATTAATTTATAATACTTGCAATGTTGTAGCCGAGCACTGATTACAAGAGAACATAAAATTTGCCACCTAATATGAATGATATCAATTGACAGTCAGTGTGGAATTGTTCATTTCTTTGTTTTTCTTTAGTAGAAAGTTTGTAATTACTGAATGTGTATTAAAAATTTTTTTTTTAGTCATGCTTGCTGTTAAATAGTTTTGAAAGTGTCCTGTAATTTTTAATGTTAGATTCATTGAGAATCATCTGGCTGTCTCGGGCAAAGAAAAATGTTAAGAGATAATGGAAAATGACTGGGCGATCATCGAATGTGAATATTTAATCTTTTCTAATCACTTTAAACAATTGTTTACACCTGTCTGGGATTTGAACGTGTTCCTCTCATTGAAAAACCATCATTTCCAGAACTGAGGACTGACAAAATTAACTTTCAAGATGGGCTCGGTAGAGTCGTTTGTGTTTGTCAAATGCATCAATAAACAAATCCAGCAATGTAAATCCCTGAGCAAATTATATTTTCCAGGGCCATGATTCTCAAAGGCCAATGAGTAAACTAATAAAAATCAAATGGATGAAGCATTGTTGAAAAATGTACTCAAACTCCATCATGTCTGCATGTCTCTTGCAGCACCTTTGATCAAATTAAAAAAAAAACCTTTTTGAAGGTTTTTTTTTTGGCGACAAGCCATGCAAACAGGATATAGACATGAAGACAAGAACCTTTTTATTATTAACATTTAGGCAGTAAAAAACACAAATACTGAGATGGCAATATAAATATGTTGAATGGTAATAAACGTTTCCAAGTACAAAAATAAATGTGGCATTAACAAAAGCTCCCTGCAATTTTTACATGTAAATATGCAAGCTGATTCCAAATTGGCTGAATCGACTCATCGACGAGTGTGTTAGTATCTGGCAAGAGCCAAGTTATTTTAAAGGCAGCTTTGCACTACAACTGAGGACAACACACTGTACATGCTTAAGGCACTTTGGGATACCAACAACAGCAGTAGCAATCTGAAGTCTCGGAGCTTTCCATTCAGAGACAGTTGCAACACAGCTCCTGTTCCCGTACTCCATAAATATCCAGCACGGCACAGTATTTCTAAACCGAGGCTCATTTTGAAACGTTGCAACACTTGGAAAGTTCGATCCAAGAAAACACCGGCTTGTGAATATACAGTCTTCCCTGAAAATGCAAAGAGGCTCCGTCCAAAATGGGCAAATGCCGTCTGCGGCTCTGGCTATTAACTGTTTGCATTTCAAAGGCAAAAAAGTCAAAGCCAAAGCCACAAGACACCCAATTCTGAAGCAGCCTGAAGGGATGCACCATGATCACAATTGAACATTTCAAAATGAATGGTAACCTTCCATCATGTTCTCCACGATGGAAACACTAGCCCGATCTAGTACATGTACATCTCTAAATAAAGACAGACTTCCCCATTCAGGGAAAATGCACCGTGATCCTAACACAAAGCATTTATGAAAAGTTAAAGATTCTTCTGAGTGAAACGGGAATGCTCTTAGTTTAGAGTTACTTTCTTAAAAAAAGGGATTTCTCATGCACCTAACGATCTATATACACTAAAACACTGACTGAGCTACACAAAACTTCCCAACTTATCTTCCTATCTCTAAAGACCGATTACGCCCATTAAGTCACATGACCTATTAGCGGTGTCCTCCCATAGCAAAGTGTGCTTTAGGTGTTGTTTACCCCCCAAAAAGGGCTAATTTTCGGTATAGCACTCAGCATATTAAGTCTGAGTACTTCACCGTCTGTTGGTTTTATTTTCGGTAAATTACACTCGCGACACGCTTTGCTAGGGATTACACCATGTTTGTTGATGTTTGATACCCACTATAGATCATGTGGCTTAGTGGGCACAATTGGTCTGTTCGGCAAAGACATTAAAATAATTTGACAAGATCTCTTATCACCAATCCCAAAAAATCTGTTTTGGAAAGCACCAATTTGAAAGGAAAAGTCGTATGCACAAAATATTTCAAATGGTTGTACATTTCATGTATCTGTAGTTAAAGTTCACTTTTTGAGAATTGAAATTTACGTTCAAAAAAGGAAAGGAGCATTTCCAAGTTTATTGTACATGCAGTTAAACCCCGTAGTCTCTTATATAAGAACTCTTCTGCCTAAAACACACAAAGAATTACATAAAAAAACAGGCTAAAGTGTTGATGAGACACTTTCTTTACATGTACACTTCAAATCTGTCGTCCCCACTTGGCTCTCATAGAAAAAATGCACATGCTCTCATAGGAAAATGCACATGTGAACAAAGTGTGATATCATAAATAACTGGCCTATTCATGGTGAAACTTGGTCCTTCCTTGATAAACGTTGACATGCAGGCACACTTGCCTTCCTACCCCCCCAAAAAAGCTATTTGGTCTGATGCGCTGAAAATAGTGCCTTTTTTACCCAGAGATGACAATCAAGTGTGACCCATAACTAAACAGAAATATCAACATCCAAATCTAAGTAACTATGACTCTCTATAAACTTGCTTGAGTTTTAGTGGGCTACAAACTTGGGCCTACGGTAACCGTTTCAATTTGTTTTGATTATTTTGGAGGTGGGGCAGTTGATTTTGATTAAATGCTCTTCTTTAGAGAAAAAATAGCACATTGCATTCGTATCATGTCCGAGTAACAGTCTCAACCAAAGCTTGAAGAAATCTATCAACCAAATCTTCGGACAGCTGTTAGTACCTTTTTATGACACCATGCTACAGTAAAGTACAACACACTCAATAACAAGAATCTTGGCCTTAAACACTGAATACCTCGAAAAATAAAAAGTAAGCACAGACACATTGCTGAAGCTACATTCTGGAATCCACTCCTGAATGTGAAGGAGAGAATGATTTCTATAGAAAGTATTTCAATTTCAGTGCATTTTTGCAAATTAGGAAAGAAAAACAAATAGTTTTCTTCCCAAATATTTTGTCCGTGTTTCTGGATACCCATAAATAAACTACACGTCCAAATCTTATGTACTGTTACGTAACTCCACAAGCACAGGTAAAGAAATCAAACCTATGAATAACAGTTCAAATGAAAACTTGATACACACTACCCGACGCCAAAACTTCCAAATCACTAAGCCGGACAAAGCTCAATGCAACAGGGTCTCTTCTACAAATCCTTTGTCAAGTATCTTAAATTTTGGGGCAGTTTGATGTTTGCCACATGGTTCAGCATCTACTTTGCATTTTTTTGTGGACTGACCCCTTTGAAGTAAATTTCACCACCGACAAAAAAATACAACAAAAAAAAACTATGAAAAAGCCTACAATATACATGTATTTACACAAAGTGACAGTAAGAACGGAGCAGGCTTCTTTGAGTTTTTGGTTTCACTGTGCGCCTGCATCAGCACGGATGCAGAACGGTACTCACCACATGCGATCCTCGTCTGGCACTGTCTACGGTTCACTAGAGGAGGGGGGAAGTCCTAGGGTCACTGGAGGCGGGGGAAGTCCTCGGCAAAGAGGGTGTGGCAGCGACAGATGGGACACGTTCTCTCTCTGCTGTTGTACCAAATGCTGATGCACTGTAGGACAGACAGAAAAAAAGTAACTGATTAAGCAGTTGTTGGTCGCAAGCGCTCATCTTCCCAAGTAACCCTTGTTTCATATTTGAGATACAAAGCTCGTGTTGTAATCTGTACGAAGTAGAATTACCCCTCAACGGCCCAAAAGAGACAGGTTGGCAAGAATTGTCTCAACTGGGCAGCTGGAGAATGTGCAAAGACTGCACTGGACCCATGTGCTCGGCACGAATTGTACCTAACGTGTACCAAACGTGCACCGACCTGTGCGCGCACCTAGAGATTCCCAGCCGCAGAACCGTCGCTTCTGCATACAGGAACGCCATCTCTTGTTCTCACATTGTGCAAGTAAGGAGACAAACCTCCATGTTTGTCCCATTCCACTTAAATACCCTCCCTCTCAATGCGATAAGCCTCCACTCCTGTGGTATTTTGAAAGAGCCAGGAACTTTCCTAGATTCTCAAAAACCCAACAGGAAAGTACCGGCCAGGAACCCAGGTGGAGCATTCTTCGTACAGCATGCAGATGAGCGCAACAAACATATACACACTTCAATTTATCATGAGCAGTTAGCCAGCTGACCAGCATTGGTGATGGCCCCACAGTGCAGAAGGTTTTCTTTATCTCGAGACAAGCATGTTCAGGCAAGCCATGCCCCCGACTAGTCAAAGAGGTATTCTCCGCACACATACAACCTGCGTGAGCCTGGTATCACCACAGCAATGGCTTCTGACTTCGCTTGTTAGATAAGTTTGGGGGTTTTCAAGACACATCAAGTCAGAGCAGTAGATAAGAAAAAAAAAACACTACAAAATTACCCACTTTTCCTGTAACTAAAACAGCAGGAATGACAACCGCACTACGAACACAGGTCAAACATTCAAGAAAAAAAAATCAGACGCAAACTCATTGAAACAAAATGCTGCCGATAACAGACCACAAACACAATGACATCACACTTGGTTTTACACGTGCACTTCCCTCTGGGGCTTGATGGATCGCATGCCAACTTCACAGCGACAGGAAAAGGCACATGCAAACAGTGTTACTAAGTTACAGGTCTGTTTTAGCTCTACAAATACCACCTTCGTGCTATCCACTGCATGCTACCAATCATAGTGGCTCTGAGTGCACAATGAATCACACAGCCATGCCAGCATAGCAAACCACTTCCAATCTCCAATCGTTCTTACCATTGGCACAGACGCTCCAGGTGTAACGGTCTTGCAAAGAGAAAATAAACTTAGGTCATGGGAGTTAATGGAGTCGTAAGAACTGCAACCCTCCGAAGGGTCAGCAGCGTCAGTAATGACACAGTCAGCCTTTGGCGACCTCAATTTGAATAAAATCTGGTACACTGAGTTACCTGATTGCACAAAACCATGACAATTTGAATTCTACAGACTCAAGAGACTGTTGCTATACCTCGCGATTCGGGACAAGCTTTTGTACAGCGACCAACATCTCTGGAATGGACTGGTTCCTTTGCGCCCTTCTTATCCATTGAAAACAGTGTATTGGTGCAAGGCGTCTCTTATGTATCTAAACAAAATCTTGCTCTGAATCACGAGGTCCGGCAAGAGTATCTTTAGTATGGAGAATTCAAATTGTTATGTTCATATGAATTTATAGAATCCAGTGTATCAGAGTTTATTCAAATCTCTCGCAAAAGGCTTATTTACAAGGGCCACCAACTTGACAATGGCTTGGTTTGACCATCCTCAAGCCTGCATAAATCTTTCCTAATGCTCAATGGATTTTGAATGAACAACGAGAATAGGGTTTGATGTAACAACAGTTTACTAATTTTGGTATACACCCAGGGCAAGTAAAATACTTACTTACAACTGGAAGATAGAGAGAAAAAAGTGGACCCCCCAAAAAAACCCAAATGCAATCCAAAAGTCACCAAATGAGAAAAATTCACCAGACAGACACAAAAGACATACAGGCTAACAGACAGATGAGGGTAAGAGAGGCAGTAGACAGATGCACTGACAAAGCGACAGACCTCATCATGAAACCCACCTCATCATGAAACAGGTGGCCACAGTCCAGCATTCTGACATCACCACTCTTGGAATTCATGTCCTCCTGACAGATGACACATATGTCTGAGTCCTCCTACATGAGATCAAGTTTTAAAGATTACAAAAGCTTACGTCCAGACAAAGAATGGAGATTAAATACAAGGAAAGCTCTAGGCACTTACGGGAAGGGGAAAAAGGGGAATGAAGGTTAAGGTTAAGTTGACCCTGCCCAGTGGGGCATTTATTACCCAGAATCCTATTTTATTGTGCACAGATTTGGGTTTCAGCCTTTTATCAGAGAGCACTGTCTTTAGCCCTTCCTACGCCTTCTAGTGTGACCAACAGGCTGTATCTGAATCAACTTGCTGTGGCTTGGATTTGTGCACACGTCTATGGAAAGAAACTGTAGCCACTAGCTTGTGGTGTCCATGGGAGAACTGTTATTGTTATCCACAGCCGTAATATTTGGTTTTGACTAACAAAGCAACTGCTCCATGCTGTATGGTCAACAGTGTGTGCATTAATGTAATCAGCAAGTAGTAAGTGTAAACAAGGGCTAAAGAAATCCTTTGGAAGGATGGATTTTAGAACAACGTAGGGACGACTATGAACAGGGAGTACCGGATGTGGAAAAGTCTGCTGGATCGCCTGTAACGTGGGGAGTTCACTCTCCTTGGGCTGGTGGGGTTGGGGCGGGTTTACCAGCTGCGGTCTGGGCGGTTCCAACTTGGCCTGCAGGTAGAGCCTGGACTCGGCGATGATGGTGCTGAAGGGGGTGCCGCTCAGGCTGCCATGGTGGTCCTGACGCACCTGCCGGATCACCTCCATCACCTCCTTGCTGTGATCGTTGACAAAAAAGGATGCCACTTGACTAATTAAAGACATGTGCATGTATGTCCATCATCTGCCACATCCCTATGATGATCCTTTACAGTCTGATGTCGAGATCCAATTTAATGGCTCCTAAATGTATTTTCTTATACTGTTTGACCAATTTTCACAACCCACGACTACAACTCAACCTTCAGGCAGAGTGTCCCAAATAAATTAAAGAGTGAACAAATTTTCATCCCTCTCTGAATATAGCATCATCCAAAGGCGAAACAGTGGGAGTTGTCTTTTCAACATGTAACTGGGCTCATTTATGTAACAATAGTGTGAAACAGAAGTCATTGGAGTCTACAAAATATTGCAAGCCAAAAGTACTGGGCGCACCAGTGTTAATCCACTTGTCCATCTCTTAAATTGCCAATGTTGCTGCTGAAAATGCGAATTTGGTTTCCAAACAAAAAGGACAGGCACTTTCCAACTTAAACACGCTGTCAGAAGAATAATTTAAGAATCTTCAAATCTCATGGAATTAAAAACGTCAACAACAGAAAAGTTTTAAAACTAGCCCAAGTCAGATAAAAATGCTTTACCAATTACTATGTAAGCAAAGAAATGCAATGAAATCAAAATGAAATCACAGAGGAATAAGTGTTTCGAGACGGGAACAGTTCAAACCGACCGTTTCCAATCCTTTCCGATCAACAAGAGTGAGTGAGAACAAAGGCTGTGGGAGAGCGACTCACGGTTTAACGCCGGTGAACTGCTCAGACAACACCCCGATGAGCTTGTCCATGCACCCCTTCTTGCCCGCCTTGGCCTGCTGTTGCTTCCATTCTGCCTCAAAGTGTGCCAACGCTTTCTTCTTCCGCTTGCTCATCTGAGGGGGGGAAAAGAGGAAGAGACGAAGCCACGTGAGCAAATTGATTCAAGCCTGAGGGGCCCAAAGACGGAATACACTTGGAGTGCATGCCCATTCAAACAATCCTCTTTCTCATCAAGTTCTGATCTGAAAAAAATAGGGGACTTGTTATACGTGCAGTTAGGTCAGTGCTGGTAAAACAATGATGGCATTCAAGTGCAAGGAATCAGATTAACTACTTGCTGCCGGGGAGCCTATTCGTATTCTTTATATGCATAGCCGGGGTCTCCGAAATCAGACAAAGGGAACTGGGCCTTTTAACAAAGACCGTACTCGTGACAAAAGACCAGGCTGCTTGGAATTACCAACATTTTTAAACTCTCAATAGTGGAAATAATCCAGCATTTTTTTGAAACAGTATACCACTGTTTGGGTCATTCAGTGCGAGCGGATTACCACCAGGGACAAAAGTGCTCAATCACCTCAGCGATGAGCCACACAGTACCGCTGAAAGCTAATCTGGCCCCTATTGAAAAGAGGTAAGCAGGGCACTGTGCCAGTTTTGTGAACAAAAGAAAATTATGTAACACAGAACAATCTGGGCTCTTTTTACACGGTGGCAGGCCTGGCTGAAATACTCCAGCATCAATAGAAGTTGTCTGTCAGATTAGAATAGAAACCAGAAAGTCCTTCATGTGGGTGTAAGTATCCAGTAAATGAAGATATGAATTTGTTAAGAATTTTGAAAACAGAAAAAAATGAAAAAGATCCCATCCCAGCAGAATCAACATTCATTAATGCCCCCCATGCGATGTGGTTAAGAAATGTAGACTCTGAAGTTTCGGTTTACTTACCTGTGTCTGCCACTCATCTTCATCCGATTCCTCTTCTAGTTCTGTTTCTGTGATGGTGGCCATCTGAGCTTTCTGCACATCTGTTGTATCATCCAACGAGTCTAGGTTTGCAGTCTTCCTCTTCTTGACTCCACTGACCTCCCTTGGCTTGGACACCTCTTGGGCTGGGCCAGGGGCGGGTGCGAGGCTAGCCTCAGATTGCGATGGACAGCTTCGCTGTTGAATACGCCGTGCTGCCTGGAATCTTGGCGGCAGGGAGGATTGCCTACGTTGGGCGACACCTGACCTCCCCTCACCAAAGCCGAAATCCCTGGTGTTGGTGTCCGATTTGGTCCCCTGGGTGCTGGGGTGATGAAGTGGTTCGCTCTGTTGTATTCCCTTGTGAAAGGCATTGGTGGACGCCAGACTACTGGGGTTGGCCAGAGGAGGGTGGAATGAGGGAAGAGTGAAGAACAGAGGCTTTGGAGTAGGTGTGATGGGTCCGGAAGTGGGCAATAATGGCTCTGGAGTGGGTAAGAGTGGCTGAGGAGTGGGCAAAAGAGGGTCTGGAGTTGGCAGTGACTGCCCTGGGGTTGGCAATGATGGCTCAGCAGTGGGGAACCACAGCTTAAGAGGGGACAATGATGGCTCAGGAGTGGGCAGCGACGGCTCAGGAGTGGGCGATGGCTCAGGAGTGGGCAGCGATGGTTGGTGAGTGGGCGATGGCTCAGGAGTGGTCAGCGATGGTTCGTGAGTGGACAACTGCAGCTCGGACATGGGCAACAATGGCCCATGAGTAGGCAATGATGGCTCAGCAGTGGGTAAGATTGACCCAGCAGGCGGCGTTAGTTGGGTGTCTTTGGAAGGTACTAGGTGACCGTGCACCTTGCTATCATCCTGGAGATCCTTCAAGCTTTCAGCCCTTTCTCCTGGCAGGTTGTGGATGTGCTTGGCTTTCCACTCCATGCAGATCCTCTGCGCCGGTGTGAGGCTGCTCTGTGAGCCACTCGATAGGACCTGGTTGGGATTCCCAAGAGTGCCTGGATTTCTGACGTTATCAGCCAACTGGAAGACCAGACTACCTTGGCTCACTGTTGCCCGAGACGTGACGGCCCCAGCCAGTATCTCGCCGCTTGATGGCAAGCTTGCCAATTCCTGTTGTTGATCACCTGCAGGATGATGGCTGCCAGAGATGACTGCAGCATCGTGACATGGCTCACCGGCACCAGACTTATCAAATGTCCCACAGGAGGGAGCGGGCGGACAACTAGTCTCCACAGCACCAGCTGGTCTTTCTGTCGGCAGTCCATCCGGCTGGGAGGCGTGGCCCCCAGTACTGAAGATGGAAGCCGCAAACAGGTTCATCTTCCTGGCCGAGTGTCCCAGGGTGAGCGCACCATCCATACCGGCAGGAAGGTGAGGTCCTTTGGAGCATACCGACCTCAGTCGGGAGAGGTTCGAGTCACTCTGGATTCGCTTCCGCATGTTCATGAGACGCTCCGCTCGAGTTTTGGCTGCAGGCTGCTGCTTCACAGGCTGGGCTGCACATGGTGCTTGCTATATTAAAATAAAAAAAATCATACATGGTGATAGGTTTATGTTGTGAATTTTACTAAGAATGATTATGTGATATGCCACAAACATGCATGTATACCGGTCAGGGGCACATTAGCAATGTACGCCATGGTACTCATGTACCATGGCATGCTATGGTTGCTCAGGGTGCCATCTGCCCCTCCAGGTGTATAAAACACCATGGACCCCTTCACAGTTGGCAACAATTGTGTAATGATGCGCAGTTCAAGGCCATGATATATACAGGCATCGCTGCTGGCTTAACTTGGTAAACTGTGATTGTCTTTTTGGAAATGGAACATCAATTCTGACAGTCCAGAAGTATACATGAGAAATGTGATGAATATTGTACTTCACATCAGTGAATGATGAATCAGCTTTATTATAGTGCTACCTGAATTTTAAAATCTACCTCTAGAAATGAACTTAACCACTTTGTGCCCGTACTGGAGATGTTGGCTTAATACGCAAAGCCGGGGTGCCCGAAATTGGACAAAGAAGCTGGGCCTTGTAACAAAAGACCGTACTCGGAGCATACACTGAGCTGCTGGGCATCGCAACATGCAGTTGTCAATAGCAGAGGAAATCCATCATTGTTTTGAAAGATTATACCACTATTTGTGGTATTGAGCACAAGTGGATTGCCACTGGGGACAAAAGCGCTCTGGGGCTCCAGGGATGAGCGATACAATAGCACTGCATGCTAATCTGGTCCGCATTTGAAAAGACGCCAGCAGCACACCGGGCTAATTTTGGAGACAAAAGAAAATTACGTAACATCGCACAATCTGGGCTCCCTTTACAAGGCAGCAGGCCTGGCTGAAATACTCGGGTGTCAATAGATGTTGTCCATCAGATTAGAGTAGCCACTAGACAGTCATTCGTGTGGGTGTAAACATCCAGTAAATAAAGTTATGAATTTTGAAAACAGAAAATCTTGAAAATCCCCCGGGAATACATCACACAACTTCAAATTAAACCCGACAGCATATGGTTAAAATTGTTACTTTGATTAGTTTGCGTAAATTTACTTATGAAAATCCATAACGGTTGGATCCTTTACTGGAACATTCTAGTGTCGTGGGACCAAAACTGACGATGATGAGCATTATCATAATAAAATTCATCTTCCAAAGGGATAGCTGACCTGGTTTTCTGCAAGTCCAGGAGGTACATCCCCTCCAACAGCTAAGGGATATCCAAATGTGAATCTTGGCGGCAAGACTTCTTCATAAACAGCGGGGGTAGCTTTTGGCAACTCTGGCACTGGGGCTGAGTGAGGTTGAGTTTCTGCCAACTCCTGCAGCCCACTTGCATCTTGCTGCATGTCTGACGGCTCGTCTGGCACTGCAGGTGCTGTTGCTGACGCTGCTGTGTCAGGTTGGTCGATGATTTCAGCATCCGCAGTTGGCACTTCGCCAGGTCTGATGGGAAAAGGCATATGATACAGGACAAAAAAAAAACCAAGTTAACCTTACCATTACGTTCACAGTAGCTCTGTCCCTGTGGAAGGGACTCCCAAGATGCTCAAAAGCTTCTGAATGCTAAAGTTATTGTCTTAGATGAGGAGATATGACCAACAAGACCAGAGTGTTTGACTCAAGCTTTTGTCAGTATTGCAACACTATTGCTTAATACATCAGATCAAGATACCACTGTCCATGAGCAAGATATTTTACAATTATTGTTTCTTAGAAAAATGTTATTGGGGGTATTTGTTAAAGTAAAATACACTCAAACTTACAGGCCTGAGAACAAAACTTGCAGATTGATGGTGCATCCTACAAGTTTGCCAAATAGGAATGCAGACCTAATGAGCAGGCTCACTGATAGCCTAATGGCTCTTGCAAAACGCTTTATGCATATCACGACTCCTTCAATATTCCAGCAAATAATGGTACCTTCTGATATCACACTGTGAGCTGGCCAACCTCCGCCCACGTCCTCTCCCAACAGCCTTGGGAACCCTGACTGGCTGTCTAGTCGTGTCACTGCCAGACAGCGTCTGACCGTCCAGAGGGGTATTGTTGACAGTTCCTTTCAAGGAGGATGCCGGAAGGCAAGGTTTGGGAGCCTGGTCAGTGTTCTTTGTGGGCTGAGCTAAGAACTGGAAAACCTGGTGGGGTTGGCTCGTAGGCTTGGCCTTCACCGAGAAGGAGTTCTTAATGGAAAGTTTGGGCTGTTTTTTAAAAAAAAAAAATCAGGGCTTAAGGATAATACCAACCTTATTTCTAATCAATTAAGATGATTAATTCAACCAGGCATGAACTACTTTTTTATCTCAAAGAGAGTTTCCAAGTCAAACAGTATTTGTCTTAAAGTTCAAAGTGAGAAAATAGGAATCATCAATTATCTCTAGCAAGCAATATTAAAATTTTGAGAGGATGCATGAACGAGAGCCTCTTCAAAAAGATTCAACCAATGCACCATGTTAACGTCATCCCAAGATTTAACAATTACACGATGGGAAGAAGTGAACCCCCCACCTCAAAAATAACCCAATCATTAAAGGGCAGCAGCATGAAAGATAACAGCTTTTTTTTTTACCACCGAGACTTTGAAGGTATCCAACTGAGGCGCAACCAGTTCAGGTAGCTGGCCTAGTGTCTTGTCTTCATCTCTGATCATCCTGACCAGGCTGTTATACTTGGACTCCAGTTTGGAGGTATGAGCCTGCATCGAGTTCTGATACTCTGCCCATCTGATGACTAGGTGAGCTTTCTCACAGAAGCTGTTGGAAGGAGAGAATATTTGCAAATCAAGATTTCAAAACACGAAAAGTCTTTTCTGGTTTTCAAGGAAATCTGGTACACAGTGTTGACCCTTTACCATGCATTTCCTTTTTTCTCCTACAGTCTAACAAAGGTTGTCTGCCACTCCGTCAGGTCAATGCACGGCAGGTCTGAGGCAGTTGCCCACACGTAACTTAAAAACGCAAACAGCATTCAATTACTTTTTTCGAATATATTCCCGGAAAAGAGAAAACCCACCAATTTCATTCTGAGATGTAGTTTCAGTGCAAGTCACCAAAACAACTTTCCACGGTTGGAGTAAGTTACAGGCCCAGTCTTACATAATGAACACTGACACAAACTAGCAACATCTTGTGCATTCTGCATTAACAGAAAAATTGGCCGATGGAGCAGTGTTAGGAGTCTTCCACTGCGTTACATAATAATTCAACGAAACACAACCTTTCAAGACTCTTCACAAATTGCCAGCACCTGATGGGATTTTGCCCCCAACATCATTCAAGTAATATGTTGCCGACGGAAACCTGTTTGGGGCTCTACATCAAATTGATCACACTGGCCGCTCGCTCACTTGAGTTGGGAGCTCTCTGTACAGATGTTGTAGGTATACTCGGCATCTTCTAGTGTACTCTTAATCTTCTGCTCGATCGATTGACGCTTTAATTCCAGCACCTTCAAAATATGCGAAATAAACATAAAATCACACTTGATTAAAGTCCGTACGAAAGCACATATTTCAAGAATTCTCACAAGCTCAAGAATTCCATTTTCACTGCCTAAACATAATGACAGGATTTGCCAGAGGATTTGGAGGGATTGCAGCAGTAGGCACACCTCCAAGTAACATTTTCAAGAAATTTTGGAGGATTTTGGGGGATTGAGGAAGAAACCAATTTTTTCACCACCCAAAGCACCACCCTAGCAAAAAGGGCATAGGGGGTTAGGGTCAAAGGGAAGACTACAAAAATTAAACAGGTGGTAAGTGGAAGTTTAAAGGGCAAACCTCAAGTTCGGCGGACTTGGCACGCTTTGCCAGTGCCACCGCGCGCTCAGCCGGAACGGTGCCAGAGTACTCCCCAGCCTTGACAAGTTCTTCGGTGTTCGTCCCCACATTGGCCCTTGGGACGGCTTTGGCTTTCGTAGTCAATGCTGCCTCCAGGTCCAGGAGTTGTCTGGTCACAGACTGCAACTCATTAGACAGGCTAAAAGGGGAGAATAAAAAAAAATCCTTTGAGTGAAACAAAATTGGAAGCATGTCTCAGTTGAGAAAATATTGATCTCTGAAGCAAGTCAATGCTTTATCCAGGAGTTGAGAGAGGGAAGGGGGCCAGTCAAGGAGTCCTGAACCACTATTTTATTCACTTTACCTTTATATACTTGAATACGGTGAAATTCATAGCCAAATCAGTTCATGTGCCTTCTTTACAGAGCATACAAGGCACACTTACCACTTGCTGCCGGGTGTAATTTGAAGTTGCATGACGTAAAACCGGGAGATTTTCCATTTTCAAAATTCTTCAAAAATTCATGACTTCATTCACACGATTGACTGTCTTGTGGCTACTCTAATATAAAAGACAACATCTATTGATGCCCGAGTATTTCAACCAAGCTTGCCATTTGGTAAAAAGACCCCAGATTGTGCAGTGTTACATAAGTTTCTTTTGTTCCCGAAACTGGCACAGTGCGAGGTTGGCGTCTTTTCAATAGGGGCCAGATTGAAGAGTAACGGTATTGTATCGCTCATCCCTGGAGTGCTGGAGCGCTTTTGTCCCTGGTGGTAATCCACTCACACTAAATGCCACAAATAGTGGTATAATCTTTCAAAACAATGACGGATTTCCTCCTCTATTAACAATAGAGAAAATGTCAGCAATTCGAAACAGCTGGGTCTTTTACTCCGAGTACGGTCTTTTTTGATAAGGCCTAGCTCTTTTGTCTGGTTTTGGGCTCCCCGCTTTCGTGTATAAAGCCTATGTGCCTGAAACCGGGCTCCCCGGCAGGAAGTGGTGAAGATACCAGAAGAATACGAAAGACAATAAAAACGTCAGTATCATTATAACAGTAAATCTCCCTTTAAAGCTAAGCTAAAATGCGCATTATTGTAGTTGAAGGCCACATACTGCACGTCACAAGAGTCCAGGGCTGAATGATTAAGTGAGAGCAAGTGCACCATCATCTGAAAGGGAAATTGTGATAGAGGGCCAGTCTAAACAGCATGCAAATCTCCAATGACGAGCAATGTGTTAACGTCTGCCTTACCATGCGCTTTGCTTCTCGGCGGCGACCAATTTGCTCCTGGTGGTGCTGAACACGCTCTGCAACTCTCGGTGGTCCAGCAAGAGCTTCCTGAACTCTGACGTCTGCTGCTTGCGTCTGCTGTCCAGCTCACACTGGGCATCCTGGCATCAAACAGGGGAGAGATGCAACACTTTCCTACTACAGGCATTGACGGCACATGAAATGATGTAACCAGTAAACTTCTACATTTGTTTCATTTAGGAAAGATTCTGAATTCACCAATACCTCCTCAAGAGTAAGTTTGAAGTTGCTACTAAACAATACACATGTATTAAAATTCCAAGCATGTGCTGTTTCTATTAAGGCCAATTCATGTTCACTGAAACCACGGTGGTTTGACTCTGTGCCATAAATGACAAACAAGTTAAAAAGAAGCTACATTTCAACAGACAATTTTTGCTGACCAGTGTTTTGAAAATGCAAACTTTTTCATTCACATGAGGAACAAACAAGCCCTTCAAAGGGGCAAACAAAGCCCACTCAGACTCCTGATCAATGGTTGAAGTGTTTCACAAATAAAAGAAAAATGATGGCATCGTACACAAAGTCGAGATTCGGTCTCCTGGAGGGTTTCTCTCAACTCCTTCGTCTCCGCACTGTGCCTGCTCTTTTGAGATGCTATCAAGTCCCTCTCACAGTCCAAGGTAATTTCAAGGATGCTGACTCGCTCTAACTGTTCATGGTTTGAAAAGAAGACATTCAGATATACATGTAGAATGATTTTTGTTTCACTCCACAAAGGAGCAAAACTATGTTTCTCACTTGACATACAGACTACAGAAAAAATGCACACATAAAAAGCAAATGCCTGACAAAAGTTTCCTTAACTATGCCAAACTTACCGCTTCAATGTACTTTTTCATGTGGGCCTCCTCCAGCTCCGAGGGTGTGTCCACGGCCCGGTTCTGCGTGGACAAGGTGACCGTTGTGATGCCAACGTTCTTTGTGATGATCTTCTTGGTGCTGATGGCTCGTGTGCACATCCTGATCTCATCTGTGTTCACTCCTTTGTCCTTCAATTTGGGAAGAGTCCTGTTGACAGGGCCATCTCGGGCTAGAGGGACTTCTTTCTGTCTAACTTCCTTAGTATCGGCGGCACCGTTAGCACAATTATTTTCAGACAGCGCTGGATGACCTCCACGTGAATACCTGCAAACTTCTTGTTGGTCTCTCAGGTCTGGAAGTGGCAAGGCTTGCTCTACTGGACATGATCCAGCATCCTGAATTAGAACCATACATTGACCAGTCTTGCTTGGAGGTTTAGAAACAGTGGACACTTGACGTGACACAATATCACCACCAGTTTCTGCTGAGGGTTTTGAAACTGCGCGATTCAGAGGAATCTGACAGCAGTCAGGATCGTGTTTTGAACAACTTTCAGGATTCTGCTCCAGGTTTGCATACGTGTTTACCTTGTCTGAATCTGCAGCCAATCCTGATCCTGCAGTTATTCCTCTCTTGGACTCATCCCTTCTCTGTCTCCCTTGTGGGGGGCCTCTGTGTTGCTTATCAACTAATTCTGAACCCCCCAGCTGACCACCAGCCTCGACATGCTCCCGTACATCAACAACCTTATCCTCATTTGTGGAACCGTCATTCTCCTCACTATCACGTATCTCTGTGGAGGGGTAAAGAACTGTCTCCCCTGGCTGAGTTTTCTCTTCCAATTCAGGCTCTGCTGAAACCAAACAGACAGGCTTAGGATCACCACAATAGTCACCAGAGACACTCACAAATTCTCTTGTATGACTGTCGGGAGTTTTCGAGCTTGTATCAGGCTCCAGTGCATGCAAACAGGAATGTTCATTTTCTCCACTGGATGACTGGGAGTCCCACAGGTCACTTTCTGGTTTCGGTACAGCTTTGATGGGTGAGTGCAGTTGAGGGCTCGTTTCCGATGAGGAAAATTCACTAACTTCCTTCTCGCTATCCTCAGCCAGTTCAAGTGGCACACTGAGATCTCGGTGGACACTACTGAGTACTTGGCCGGTAGTTTCAGATTTGCATTCCTCTGTTTTAGGCTGTCCTGAGCTGATTGGCAAGCTACATGGATTGGCTTCTCCCATGGTGTGACTACTGTCAAGGGTACACTCTTCCTTGGACCCTTCCCAAGTGGATGGAGAATTTGTAATTTTTACATCACCCTCTAAAGCTACATCTTCTACACCTGTTTGGAACTTGTGTTGATCCGTGGGATCATCTGAAGCTTTGTGTGAATTGCCTGGGGTCTCTAAGAACCTGGAAGAATGTGTGTCCGGAGTTTCACGCGTAGTCTGTTTGTGTTTGTGGTCCAACTGAACAGCAAAAGCAGCTTCCAATCTGTCTGCGTCAGGTGCTACCTCCCGAGACAAACTGTCCGTAGAAGCGTTAGGTTCTTCTGGCAAAATCTGATGCCCCTGAGACTTTTGCAGGCTATGTTCGTCTCTTTGGACATCAGTTGATGGGATAGATTCAATGACATCTTTGATGGTTGTGGATACCTCTGGACACACCAAAAACTGTTCAGGACCTGTGAGGTCTCCATCTCGAATAGGATGATCGACTTCCTGTGTAGCGCAGAGGTCATTCTCTTGACAACCACCAGAAATCTGTTTTGTGTTTACTATCTGATCAGCAGTAGAAGTACAGGGTTCCTTTTCCACAGCTTCTAGCATGTTTGCACTGGAGTTCAAGCCACAGCTCTCAGAACGGTCCTGGTCAGACCCAGAGTTTTGGTCAGGCAACTTCGACAACTCACGTTGGTGATTTGGCACCCCGCTGGGTGTTTCCTCAATACTGTCATTGGTTGTCGAGCCTTCAGAGTCGCTAGCCATGGGTGGGTCTGAGAGAGTTTCGTGCCTTGCCGCTGCCAGACTCTGCAAGTACTGGATCCATCCACTCTCTCCATTACCTGTTGCCAAACCACTCAATATAGAAGCCATTTTGGGTCTGGTACTCAAGCTTCCCTCTTGTGGGCCCTTCATGGCAGCTGGCTTTTCTTCCCCTTGTTTCGGCGGTTCTATGCCTTTTTCTTCCTGCTGCTCTTCGGCATTGCTTGCCCCATCTTGCGGCAGTTTACTGTCCTGCACAGCTGTACTGGTCTGTCCTGCTGGAGTCGAAGGTGAATTATCTTTAACCTCTGAGATGGAAGAGGATGTCAACGTAGAGTTTGTGGTGACCTCTGAAGTAGCTTTACTCCCTTGCTCCCTTAAATGATTCTTAGCATCTTCACAGCAGATTTCTTTAGCTTTGGTGGCCAGTTTCTCTCCCATGGTAACATACGGTGATGCCAGCTGTGGTGACAAAGGTATCGACCTCCCCTGACCGCTCGACCTCTGTTGGCTGAGTGACAACTCCTGCTCCCCTGCTCTTGCTCCCATGTTGCTTACAACGTGTACAGAGACCGAGTTATCAAGGAGTGGTTTTTCTGTGACCTCCTTTGCCTTGGCAGCTAATCTGTCTCCAACATCAGTGAAGGGGCTTTTCTCTTCCTTTTTGTCTTTAAAAGTAGGTGTCTCACCTGAACAGAGGGAAACACTTACAAGCATCCACAACCATATCTATCTTGTCAAACTTAACAAAATAAATTAAGTCTACCAACTTCAATCATAATATCTACCAACTTCAATCATAATATGAAATTTGTGAGAAAACAAAATTAACTTTGTTTCTCAAGAATAAGAACTTGTAACAATTTTATCTTCTCATACGTATAGCATGCCTTCACATTTAGATACTTTACCAGATTATTCAAAAGGGGAAAAAAAATCATCAGCAAATTGTGATTTTTTGCCAGTGTGTGTGAAACATCAATGCCACTCAAGTAAGAAGTACAAGGTAACCAACTAATAGTCAACTGTCTAGGTGTAAATTATGTCCATAAGTACATCAGAAACCATAGAGAGAAACAGGTGCAGGAGCAGTTGATTGGCGCAATAGACTAATCAGATTACACCCGTTACAGACAGGTGTTCTAGAGTCGTGCTGAACCAAATTAAAGCAAGTTTTGAATTAAGAACGGCAAAAGTGCGATGTAAGAAATAATTAGGAGTGACCAGGCGAGCTACCAGGCAAAAGATTGACATTTAAAAGAGCTCGAAACAACACAAGAGCAACTTGGTTTCAAATGTCGTTGTTTTCGTGGACCAAACCCACTGCAAAGGTATGTATTAATTCGTCTGTTTGAAACTAAATTTAATTGGGTCAATCCGAGTCCCTATTAATTCTATTTGGTTCGGCGCGACCTTTGAACACCCAAATTACAATATTGCTGTTTGAGTGCTGCTAAAGCTGTCAGCCTACTTCAAAATTCAACCTCCTAAATCCTGAACAATCCACCAGTAGAGCCAATGATTTTCTAGGATCCCGGAAAACGGATGGAAATAGCGGAATCAACACTTTGAAACAGAAATCGCCACTTGAAATGGAACTTGCAAACTTTCCCATTAAGAATGGCTTCAAAGTAAAGAAAACTTTCCACAAAGAGCCACAACTAAATGCCTACCAAACCCTTTTAAAATGCTTGCGTCTAATGAAACAATTATGCTGGAAACATCGTAATTTGCACCACTCCAGCCCATGATTGGGTAATCTGAGCCGGTACCGATACTTGCAGGCGCTAGTATGGCTGTTATGAGCCTCAAGCGTGCAGCAGCGCAGTATGGTACACACATTGGCCATTCACATGTGCACTGTACGAGCATTGAAATCAAGGTGCAAACAAGTTCATACTCACACATATGCTTATTGCATGTGTGGGGATTTCAGTCTGTGAATCCGCATAGATGCCTTGAGACAAGGCTAGTGCCGCATAGCGCAACAATGAAACCGTGGCAGCAAAACGGAAGACTAATTACATATTTCTTGACTCAAAAAAACCTAGTAAGCTTGGTGTACTATAGATGAATGGGCCCTTGGAAGTGATCAATGAAAAGCAAAGTTTTGTCAAAGTCAAATACATGCATTTTAAGGCTCGCATTTAATGTTAGCTTTCTGAATTTGTCACACCACTGCCAAATAAAATGGCGGGTCGAGGTCCAATATTGACATATTGTGATCAACGACTGTTGCATGCAAGACCTACTCTATGACTTCACTGTACGTGTATTTAGATGTAATTTGTTTTTACACATGAGGAGTGAAACATGAATTGTCCGTTGCTTAATCGTGGCAAGTTTTGGATGATCACTCCGGTGGGAAATCAAGGGGTGGCTGATGCCATATTTCTTGTGTGGATTTTTTTTTTAAATTTTCAATACAAAAAAGTAAATAAAAAAGTTGGAAACAATGCAAAAGTATTTCCAAACAATATTTGTTTCTTTTCTTTAGGGGGGATATGGTTGGGCAATTGGTGTCCATGCAGAGTTTAAAACTTGCTCTCCTTTTTCATGCTAATTTCCAAAGCAGAATTTGGGACTTGGCGAAACAGAAAATCACTGGCTCTACACCAGGTTTTGAACAATTGAAAAAGGTAAGAGTCTCGCCACTGTTGCTTTACATGAGACTTGATGCTGTGAGAAAAGTCGGAACATTCGAATTCAAATTCACAGTTGCTAACATTCAAATGTGTCTTCATTTCTACACATTCTGAACGTGCAATCCGCAATAAAGAACTGAGAAATGAGAAGACTTAAAACCCATTCTTCACCTGGATAGAGAGTCCTGAAGTCGTCATAGTAACCGCCTCCATTCCCATAGCTCGATGTCAAGAGGGAACACAGCTCCCACAGCTTGGCAGATTCTTCGTCTTCCCTGTTCTGGGAACCGTCACCCTTCAGAGGGTCCAACCTGGCCGGTGCGGCTGGCCCGGTAATAAAAACAAAACACAGGTGGACATTTCAATTATTTAACAGTACTACAGAGGGCAGGGCATTGTCTTTTTGATTATTCCGACGAGGCTGTTCTGCAGACTAACCACTACCACTTACAACAGAAGACGGAACTGAATAAAGGACTGACGACCGAGGACAGAAAAAAATCTTTGGTCCCCATTTGTGGCATCTGTCCTGTGTGGTACACTTAGACATGTACATGAACGCATTTTAGTGACATCCCAGAGGAACCACCGACCTACCTTTCATGAATTCCGTAATGCAGAAATCTTCTGTCTTGCTGTCCTCCCATTCTGCTGGTTCACACGCAATATCCTGCAAGATCAAACCATACATTTTATCCACTTCACTTCTTGATGCCTAATAATTTGGAACAATCCTTTTCTGTTTGGTGCACCTTCTAAAAAGTCAATTGTCAAGATTCTTATTCTGATATATCTCTGGTCTACACTGTCCAACCACTCTTTAAAAAATTGGGAGGCGGACGACGGTGCTTTACAATGGTGCATGGTGCAGTACTGTTGAAAACTCAGCACATGAATTACCAAGGACTGCTGTTAGCGGCCATCAAGAAACTGAGCCATCATCTTTCCCTTTACCTCCGAGTCCATCTCCGCTGCTTTTCCTCGCAACGAAATATTGTCTCCTTCTACCACAAAGAACTCCTCAGCCTGCTGCAGGAATGGTCTGAGACCCCCTAGCCTCTTGATTCCCCGCCGGATGGGGGCCGGGAGCTGCATGAAGATGCTCAGAAGCCGGCTGTCGCACGCATCCAGGGTGCCGTGGGTTGTGAGAACCTCCTGAAATTGACTAGAAGACGTGAAAAAATTACAACAGATTAAATTCAGTGCCAGAACACATGTGGAACCAAGTTCTCTCTTTTTTCCCCAGGAAACATTAATTTTTAAGCGCGATTTTAAGCTCCAAGCAATATATATGGACTTTTTTGGGGGGCTGTACTTTTTGCAAATTTCTTTTCATTCATGACCGAACCCTAGGCTCCCTTGCTATTTTTGGCTACAATACTTCCTTGAGGCCCATTCATACTTTCACTTCGCTTTCACATTTGCCAGTGGTATGAACTGGCTTTCACTTTTACAAAATCCATCAACACAATGTCTATCCAAAGGAAACAAACCAACCTGTACAGCCTACCGCATGGTTAATCTTGAGGATTTTACAGAAATTCAATCAAGCTAGGTATGTGAATACTCTTGCATTTGAACTTTCATGCACAGAGACTGCCGCCTCCTTGAATCTCTATTACATACTACGGCTTTAGATCTAAGCACTGTCCTGTATTCAATTACTGAAGCGAAAGAGCTCTCCCCCGACTGTATGTAATGGTACACTCCTTTTATACATTAAAATAATTATAAATACATGTAAACTCAGGGAAAATGAATCACATGCGCTATATTCACGTTTGCTTCACTGTAAAGTTGATTTGTTCACATAACTGTCAGTAACGAGCCGGTTTCTTTTATTTGAAAATTTAAACTGTTCTTCCAGCCAGTGACAAATTGTTCAGCTGAGACTGTACCTCAATAGTCTCCGTCTTTCTGGTTCTGTTAAGGGTACTGTGCAGTCCTCGGTAGCCCACGAACTCTGTATGTACTGCTCCTGATACAGTGACTGCTGTTCTTTGATACTGGGACTGCCCCCGAAACCTATGCTTCTAGAGCAGCTTATCTGTGAGGGCTTGGCAACCTCGTACAGGCTCGACTTTTTTGCATAGGTGACCGAGGGCGAGTTAGATTGTGGGTAGTACGTGGAGGTACCATTCTGTTGCAACTGTTGACTCTTGGTTTGGAGCTGAGGTTGTGGTTGGGATAGTGGCTGGGGTTGTGGCTGGCAGTGTCGCTGTGGCTGGCAGTGTGGCTCGGGATGTGGCGGGCAGTGTGGCGGGCAGTGCAGCTGAGTGCGCGGTTGGGGTTGCAGTTGGGGCTGGCGATATGGCTGATGCTGCGGCTGGGGACTGGGCTGGCGGAGCAGCTGTTGACCGGGCCCACACTGCAGCTGGGGCCGTGCACTGTCCTGCGATGGCAGGTGCAGTTGTGTCTCTGGCTGCAGCTGTGACTGCCAGGGTCTCGCAGCTGGTTGGGTGGGACTGCCAATGACACCGCCACCAGCTACTGGCTGGGGCATCCGAGTGTAGCTTCGTGGGACACCCTGGGATGACTGGGTGAAAGCGGGTGTTACAGATACTGGGCAATAAGTGACCATTTGCATCGGCTGCTGGGTAAAAGGACACGGTTGAGGAATTTGCACTGGCTGTGCTGGCTGCGGAGGGATACTTCCTGGTACAAACACAGGAGCATGAGCACACAATGGGGTGTAGCTGGCAATACTACAACCAGAAAAAGGGAGAAAAATCACTACATCAATGTATCAACAGAACGAGAAGATTGGTTTTATATTCATGATAGAAATTAATCAAAAACAACGAAAATCGAAACATCTTCAAGTTAATCATTGAGCTTTCAGTAGAGGTGATTAGATCTGGGAGTCAATATTTACCTGGATGGATACATGGTCACAGGGATGTCACTCACGGACCGATGCCAATGGAAGTGTTAGTCAAGCCTGAAAGTCTGTCATTACACAATATGGCAAAGGGCCATATCCACTGGAGAAAAAACAAACAAAAAGGTATCAAAATACAAAAATACAAGTGACCAATTCAAAGAAATGAATTGTACTGGAAATGACTGGAGTGTTCATGAGCAACAGGCCTGAACAAATTTCGTACCATAAAAACTGAAAGAAGCTCTGAACACTTCTTTGCCCAATATCCACACTAAATTATGAGCTGATAGAGGTAATGAGATAAAAAGAGGTAAAAAGTAGCCAAGTGTGAGTGAAAAATCTCCTCAAAGAACAAACTGTTGTTAAAAATCTGCTTATTTTTAGCTTGCATGGAAGTAACTCCACAAAAAATCCTCTTACACATACAGACCCTCAAGCAATGAAAATGCTAATGTGAAATGAAAAGTGAGGCACATGAAAGGTAGTTAATGGCCAATCGACGAACAATAAGATGTGCTCATTCTGCTGCAAATCCATTACTCGCACTGTGCAGCAAACGCCTTGACGTTTAGCATATGTACCAATCTGATTGCATTATGATCCATTCACTGCCCAGGAATCCCTAAGCAAAGTCTCCAAGACAAACCACCAAGTAAAATAAATTATTTGCATTTTGAAGAAGATCACACGCCACTTGCCAGACACCTGAATGTGACCTGAATGGACCCACATTGTCAGGAACCCGTATACAAGTACGGGGACATAGCCTTATGAATTCACCCCAGGGCAGCGCTGTGATCAATGCATTCCAGTGTCCTGTGAACAGTGGCATGCTTCACAACAGCTTAGCTGTAGCATGACTTTACATTCAATTAAAACAAGCAGGGAAAACATTTAACACTGACAGTTAGGATGAGGTTAAGCCCTCATATTCCCCTTTTTCTCCACCTACCACATAAAGGTAAGGTAATTGATGCATGCACCATCCCTATTGTATAAAATGGATGATGCCAACTGTGGGGTCCCTGCAGTAGCAAAACAGAGGGTTATGCCCACAAGCACACTTTGGGTTTATGAACTCAAGCATACGGCTGTTTCCTGCTTCTGATGTTCACTAAAGCGTGTGTCAATAAACAGTCAAGATAACCGGTGCCAGCAGTGCAGCATGCACAGCCTCTATCATAATCTGCAGATCTGGCACAAACACCATCATAAATTCAGGTAGCTACCTTTCCCAGGATCATGGAAAGGGGCCCTGACCTGAGGCAGAAATGAATTAAGCTTGTCAGGTACATGTACATTTACACGTATTGCAGGTCAACAACAATATAGGATAAGCCCCAAAACGTAGACTACCAGCGAGCGTTTGGGCAGGGTCAATACAGGGCACTATTTCTCCATGAAGGATAAGGCGTATACAAGGCACATTGTATATTGAATGAGGAAGATGGAACACTAATCTAAGTCCAAAGTGGCTCCCGCCTGGGCAGTCAATACGATACAGCAGATGGCAGTGGGATGGACCAGCACACCCACACAGCACTATTACATACGTGTGAGCAGTCAAGCAAAGCTGGCCACGAGGGTAGACAAATGAATGCTGGGACAGTTTATAACTGGGCTGGAATTTTGAAAATTTTGAGGAGTGGTGACACGGTACGAGAAGCATGCACCTTGTATAATAGATGACAACTTTTAACACTATAGGTTTTGAGCTTTTTAAGCCCAGTACTTCCATGGAGGTAGGAATGCTACTTCCTCCATGGTACTTCCCAGCAATGATCAAGATTACTTTTGACAAGACCGAGCTAATGTCTCAATAGATGTGCTGTATGCAACAGTCTGTGGGTGGTTGTTCCAGCACTTTTGCCTTCAGGACCAGTGACTCCACCCCAGTTTATATCATATATCAGAGTGATACAGTTCTTTGTAGACTCCCTGACTTTGGAAAGCAGATGGTTGTAGGTAAAATCACACAAGAGAGGGCCATTTTCTTCAAGTCAACAAGCGTAAAATAATTAACTAAAAAATAAAATTACAGAATGATGTCTTAAATTACGTCAGGGTTTTGCCATAAGTTAATTTTCAAATTTTTAAATAGGGCCTTGGTTAAGTAAAAACTAGAGGACCTAACCAGGATAACTTTTGCATAATTACCTAGGCCCTAGTTTGGTTCTGGTAACTGGAATCCACTTTTTATTTTTGCCATAACTTAGCCAATGTAGGCTGTAACTTATTCTGTCAGGTGAGCATTCAATGCAAAATTTTAGTCAAAGTGACAAAAAACTTGACTCGGCCCCAAGTCTCAGAAAACAAGGCACTGAACTTAGGATAATTTCCAATCCAACAAATTAAAACACGAAACGCATTCTGCTCACTAACATGTTAACAACTTCCATAAGGTCGCAAACAATATATGGCAACCCAAACTTTCTAAGGACAGTCGAGCGTGCCGGATGTCTGCAACTTCGCAAATCCTAGGCCTACCATGTTGCCCTCCCCCCATTTTGGCCGGCATCTTCGAAGTGTCAGCTTGACACTTTTTCCAAATCCTTAAACCTGGTTTCGTCTGAGTAAATCAGGCCATCTTTTACCTCGAAAGTTTAACTGCATACTTACTTTTAAAAACGCTATTTCGAGATGAACCACGTACCAAAATAAGAGCAGGCGTACGTCTGTGTTACATGTGGCGCGAAAACTTCGTCCACTTTACATGTAGCACAGACTAGTCTGGAGGAAGTCTAAGTAGCTTGCACATGCACAGCTAGCCAGATAGCTAGCCAGCTAGCTAGCCAGCTGTACGCACACGCACATGCATGCCAAGATCTATGGCAAGATGCAAGTTTACATTCTTTGAGAAGTCACATGGCGGGGGTGTCATTGTCTTGGCCTTCGTTTTGGTCACACTCTGTCATACGTTAAGTTTTTGCAAAGTAATCAACATAGGAATGATATGTTTACGTTCTCTACATTTTGAATTAATGTTGATAAAAAGGCGCATAATCTGAGTTTTATTGGGAAAATTAATGCGGACTACGGTTTTCCCTTCCATTAAATGGTACAGCTTAAACAAACAAGTTACTAGCCCGACGACTTTTGTATGTATGTTGCATTGAAAATGAATGTTTCACTCCTGCCATGCATTCAGGAAAAAAATAGTACTAGCTTTTCAGAAAATGGCATACATTTGCACAAAAAATCAAACTTTCTTTTAAAACTTGTTTTAAGCAGTACTCCAATAATGAGAATGTATTGAAAATCTGAGTAATACTTGATCAATTAAACCGTAACAAATTGTCGCGTAGTGATACTCAGTGAGCCACACTATAAAAGCAAGCGCCTAGACTGAAAATTTACATTTAGAAATGAGAATGGTCAAGGAAAGGACGTGGAAGCTACCGAATACCACGAACATTTTCAGACAGAAACTGCCCTATTTTGCATTAATTTCTCGAACATACTGTAAATTTGACACAGTGTCTGGTTGAGTACTGGTTATGGAAGGTCAGAAAAGGGTGTCTTTTGGAACGGAAAGCGTGGAAGGAGACGACGAAAGAACGGAAAACGAGCGCAGCCCTGACGTTAGTCCCATAACGCAGTGCAAGTGGCCGCGGACCGCAAGCGGAGGATTTGGGAGGCATCACACGGTGGTCAACAGCGGAGGCAGCGGTACCGATCTATCACGTCGCGCACCCCGCACACGGAATAGACCCAACCACAGGCGGAGCAGCAGCGCTAGCGGATCGGAGACGGGACAGCCGCAAGAGAACCAAGAGATGGCGCCATCCATCGAGCCTAGTAACGACAACCAATCTGGGGGATCACCTCAACAAGCTCGAGAGAATGTCAAGAACGGAGGGGCCCCTCACCACAAGGCAGACGAGAACCTCAGACGCAGGCGGAGGAATAATCGCAAGAGGAGCCATCGGAAGTGGAAACCTTATTCAAGGTTGACCTGGGAGGAGAGGAAGGAACTGGACGAGCTTGAGAGTAAGCGAGCCACCAAGAAGCGAGCCAACCGGCCAACTCCATACAACACAACGCAGTTCCTGATGGAAGATCATAAAGTTGACACACCAGACTTGAGTGCAGGGGGTAATCACATTCCAGGGGACTCATCCGATGAGCTTTTCGATGAGAATGACGACATACGGGATGGGGATTTCTTGGAAAGGGAATTTTCAGCAATGTACGATGAAGTACAGTCGGAACGCTTGCAGTCAATGTCCAAGGAACAGTTGGTCTCTGAAGTGCTGACTCTGTCAAAGCGAGTTAATGAGCTTGAGGAAACACGGCAAGCATCAGATGGAGAGCAGATGAATGGACATTCCATCTCAAAAGATGCCTTTTTGCTTAGAGCGAGGCTCGAGAGTCTCGATGACTTGGAACATGAAGTGCAACGATTACGTGAAGAGAACTCAGTCCTCAAAAAGGCAAATCACTCTCAAGGACTTGCAGAATCCAGTTAATTTTGTTTTTTATGTAGGGCATTGAACATTTTATTCCCACCCAGTTGGATAAACTGAAACTGTAACATTTAATCAATTAACAAAGGTCAGTTAAAGTGGTGGCCAAACATTAAACTGAAACATCACATAGTATATTGCAATACACATTCCACCTAAAATGATTTGAAAATCTGTAGTAGATTGGGATCTTATTCATCTGTCATGTCCGATAAGATGGATGAACAGACATTGCAGATGTCCCCGTGATAGGAGTCCCAAATATGCACTGGTCTCATTTTTACCACAGTAACTGTGTGGGTCAAATTGTGGTTTGATGAACCTGTTTGCCTGTCATGTCTGTCCCCAAAACTGCCCCACTGATAAGTTCTGCTAATGAAGATCCAAAACCAAAGCACGCTTGTCACGCCCCAACTATACATGTAGCATCTGTCCCAACTATAGTTTGGACAATCCCAACTGTAGTGCTGCAGTTGGGCCGGCCCAACTATTGTTGACCAATTTCTATTGAAAATTAACAACCTTATCTAGGTCTGTGAACCTTGCACTAGACACAGTTCATTGTGAACAATATGAATTTGGCACATACGAGGCACATGCACTCTGGACCTCTGTGCAGCAGTTGGGCGGGCCCAGCTATAGTTGGGACTGATGCTGTAGTTGGGGTGTAACACACTCATAGTGGCAATGCAATTTTAGGATAAAGTGGATTAACAGTGTTTTTTGTCAAGAATTTGAGGACCAAGAATGAACAAGGAAATAGAGTTGAATCATTAACACAGATTTTTATGCCTTTTACAGATCGCCCATTTTTCTTACAAGCTTTTGAAGCTTCAGTTCACATTTGACATTTCACTTACAGTAAGGAGGTTTTTCTTTGTAGCAAATTATAAGAACATGGAAGATGAAATGTTCGAAAAGAAAAGCATAGAAAGCATCTACCGCTGAATGCTAAGTGTTTGACCCCAAATTTGTTTTAAAATAATGAAAATAAATTAACCCCTATTTGTCATGCATTGTCACGAGACAAATAACTTTATTGAAAGAGTTGCGCAATACACGTTCCTTTACGAGGAAATGAGTACATGTACTTGTAGGAGTTAACCACGGACTACCGTGCTGTGATGTAATTTTAAATTTTGGCTTTAATTGATGGACACAAAAGTTGAAAATAAAAGACAGTAAGAACAGATTTGTATTCAGCCCCAAAATGCCTTGAATTTCATTATCACGTTTTTGATACTAGTATTCGCAGGAAAGAAGAGGAAATGTTGTATTCAACTGTTGATGAAATTATTTGAATTCAAACGGAAGTCAATATGAAATACAAAATGAAACTTACTGGCTTTGCTCAACTGATTGTGTTCAGAGACAATGTGTAGCTGTAATTCTGGACCAGGGAGACCTTTCGGAATGCATTTTTAAGATAATGTTTGAATTGTGAATTTGAGCCTGTGGGGAAGAGGGATAGAGGCTTTGACATCCAGTATGCTGCTTGTTTGTATTTTTGTTAAATCTCATGCCGACAGATATTTTCCTGTCCATGGCTAAAATCGAACTTGTCAGTTGGCATGTACATTTACATCCCGTTTCATATATATGTGTGCTCCATTGAGAATTGAAAGAGAACCTGACATTCTCTGATGTGTACCCAAGTAATGTCATCCTGAACAAAAGCCGCGTGAGGCATGTTTGGAATTTGTTGGGGTCATACAACAGTGCTGTGGTGAAATTTCATCCATTGTCCACTGCATGGATTTGGCTCTAATCTGGGCTATGTCGTGTCGCAGTAAAGAGAAATTACAAGATCCACATGAATTTGCCGCTGAGTTCAGATGTCTTCACTTTGAAAAGAGTGTGTTTTCACAAACATTTACGTGTATTTAGGATGTGAAGCAAGAAGAATTGAAGACAAAATAATAGAGCTCGCTTAGGTCTTGGCCCCATCCACCTTTTAAACTTACCATTTTTGTAGTTAAACCCTAAAGTGAAGCAGGAATGGACCAAGGGCTGTGTATTTGGGGTTAATTTCCCCTCTCATGTTGCCCTTTTGGTTCAGAGACTGAAGAGACTGCTGCTTATTAGGGTAATGACTGTCAACAGCTGTGTTGCTATATTTGGATTACATCTCCATGTGGCATAGAGAGGCAGCTGGGTTTAAGCTCCGGGAAATCCAATCAGAAAACCAAGGGCGGATCCCTCAGCAAAACTAAACCCCAATTAAGCCAAAGCCAGGATGGACAGGCAGCCTTCTGTAAATTTACAATCTAGAGACTCTGCTCGCAGCTCGGGCAGATTCATTTGATCGATGCTTACTCTGGTAGACTTTGTTCCATCATTGCTGGGTGGTCATCTTTCTAGGTGTAGGTTAAGTTATGTCATCCCAAGCATAGGGGGTTAACAGTTCATAAGATCTGTGTGTGTGACAAAGTTGTCTACTCCCCCTTCACCATGTGGCCATGAGGCATTTTTCTGAAAAACTTTATGAATGTTAATGATCAATCAAATATGATTTATTATAATGCATTCTGAAAGCTGCCATTACCAATTACAAATAGTTTGGTAAATGTTTTTATTACTTGTTGAATTCTGTATATTTCTGGTTACAAAAATTAGAACGCATACATTTTTAACTTGTATGAAAAAGTGAAGAATTTTGGATACTTTTCTATTTTTGTGGAAGGTATTTTTCAAAAAAAGTCAAACGTTTTAAAAAAAGTTAAATTGGGCATTTATAGTGAACAAAGATAGTTCACACAAATAGTATTATTCTTCCATGGAAGAAACTGTTACGAAAAAGATTGATATATTTTGGTGCTATATAGCCTTTTATTTAAATGAAAAAAAAATAATACCTTCTTTTAAAGGGAACCTGATTAGGAAAATATTGGCAAATATCCAAAATTCTTTACTCGTGCACATCATTCTGAAATGTTTACGCCCCCATTGATTGGATGGGGACAAGGTCTGACTGTGAAGATAGGTCCAATATATGCGAATCTTCAGGGACCATCTACAATTGCCAGATCACAATACTGTCAGTGCAGAGCCAATACACTTGTCAAGAAGATGTGTGCATGGAATTGTTTGCAGATGTATTGATCTTAGAATGTGTCACTGGAATGGAAAGTCATTGGCTGTACCCAGTGTTATTTTATGGCATTTGAAGGAATAAAATACCTTTATATGTACATACATGTGCATCTACATGACAAGTACATGCATGTGGGATCATGTACATGTATGTGTATATTCGCTCATCAGAGTAATCCGGTATCTTAGATCATGGCTCATGGTTGCCCTAATTGCCTGTGCACCAGTGTGGATTTCGGGATTCAACGAAAAGATGTAGTTCCACTTAAGTCTCAGGTATTGCCTTGACTTCGCCTCTCACGTCCCCCCCTCCCCACCCCATCATTGAAATGGATAGATGTGATTGGATGTGATTCTCATTTTATTACAACATCTCTGCATTAGTTAATAAAACTGTTTCCCATGGATCTACATGTACATTGCTGTCACTTTTTGGGGGTGGGGTGGGGCATATACCAATTATTATGTCCTTGTGAATTGAGAAAATTTACAGAGAATGTTTTACCTCTCCCCAAATGAGGGTCCACTTCAGAATCAAAATTGCATTGTTTACACGGCAGCAGTATGTGAAAGGACATTATCTTTTGACTTTAAGAAAAAGATTTACTCGGTCAACTTTTCTCCAGAACCATATCTTTGCATTCTTCATCTGTCGTGTATGGAGAAAGAGATAGCCTTGTCAATCGTCTGTAATCACTCACGAGAGAGGGATATTGTCACAAATAATATTTTCATTTTCCCAATGTTAAAATACAAAATGACCATTTAATACATGAACTTATGTAAACAATTCTAAATCGATAATCTGTGTAGAACCATGCTTTCCTTGGTTATTAAGTACTATAAAAACTTGCCGGTTTTATTTTACCCCACGAAAATTCAATATTGTTTTATCAAAGCTTATTGATAGTTTGACGGATAAGGGCATTGATCCGACTGAATATCAATCAACACCGATAATGTTGTTATTTCAGGAGTTTGTGTAATTCGCCTATTTGTTGACTCGGTGTATATGTTGGCATCCTCAACCTCTTGCTCAGAGTAATGTATCTGATGCAGTTATCAAGGAACTTTCCCCTAAATCAGACGTAATGCATGGGATCGGTTCCTGACAGGATTCTTCTACAGTTACTGCACATCCTTGCAGCCGGTCAACTTCACTGCTAACAATCCCGTGTTATAACAATGGCACAGTACTGTCAAAGTCCACCAAGTGTGGATTGACCATGAACAAAATCAATACAAAACTGTAAACACCTCCAAGCCATTCAGGCAGCAGCCTAGATGGTGCAAACATCTGTCACCGGGAACAATGTACATGGACTTCTTTGGTTCCGTTCTTTGTGTGTATCCAAACATGTTCAATCAAATCTCCATGTAAAGAGCTCTGTTGTGACAAATACTGTTTCCGAGGGGCCACTCCAAATTTTCAGTGTTTTGAAATTATGATTTTTTTCCCAAATTTTTGTACCCATCCACCCACCCCCATTTTCGATTAACAAAAAAGTGATTTTGTCATCCAGTGTTAAACTACATGAAATTGCATGCTGGTACATATACATGAACATGTACATGTACAGTATGTTCATATGTACATGTATGTTGTATGTCATGAAGTTCGGTTCGGTCACATACCGTAGTTCAGGCATGTCAAAGGATCTTTTTTTTGTTTGTTGTCTTTTGAAATAAAAAACGAATTTGGATTTTCAATTGCTTTTTTTTACCCATTCAACCACTATTTTGAAAAATAGTGCATGGATCTAGTAATCTTACCGTAAGGAAAGTTGACGGTATCATACACTTCAAACATGAAGTTGTCAAATATCTTATTTTCCAGTTTGTGTATGCGTCAGTGTGTGCATACCTGGGTATATTTATGCATATGTTGTATGCACAACCCTTGTGTTACATGTAGGTCTACCAACACCTGCAAATGAGCCACAACTATCCAACACACACCGATAGCAGTGGTTCAGACAAGGCTTGCTGACGAAATGTTAAATGACCTCATCCAAGGCTGAGCCCCATCAAGGAAACTCAGTCTAGTTTGACTAGAACTTAGGCCGTGTCTAAAACGGGCTTCCAGAGCTACGGCTAGGTCTATCTTCTACGCGTCTCCATGCATTTCCAATGGAGTGAAGACCTAGACCTAGCTTCAGACAAGAGATTCAGATGCAGCCTTAGGCTGGACATGGCACTGGCCAGGAGTAGGGAGGGTGTGTGTAAGGTGGATTGGACTTGGTCTGTTGCTAGGCTATTCTGTGACGGGACTTGCCATTTTTCAGCTTAGTTTGTATGTTAACCAATGCTGCAAATTTGTCATTTTTAAGGCCATAGCTTTTGCCTGAGTGATACAATTTATATCTGAAAAATTCCTAGTTTCTGTGGAATCTGTCATTTGTAAATGTACAGCTTTTGCCTGAGCTTTCCAAGCTTTGCTTGCAGATTTCATGTCTGAAGACCTGAGCTGTATATCACCACATTCCAACGGGAATCCCATTCAGATTGTGCCTAGGTCTAACAATCTCCCTGCTGTGAGTCATCGAGAGCAATCATTTCATCTTGCCGAGCTCGCTGCTCTTACTCCGCCAAGCCGAAATTCATACATTATCACCCCAACGAAAGACATCATAGATATGCTGGAGATTGAGAAAATAAATGCGAACGGCCCCATCCATATGTTTTTTGTACCATTGAACAAGATTTTGCTCGTTAAATTTTCCTCATCTTGAATTGTAAATTTTAAGAACAGATACCTTGAAGAATTGGTGCAAACATATAAAAAGAAGTAAGAAGTGCCATAACGTAAAAATGAAAGAGATTGGCTACATTAAGCTAGAAAATTGATGAGGATATGATGAGGTTGTGACTTTTTTTTTCAAGAACTGACATTCTGCACTGCCCAGATTTATTCGACAGCTCAACACACAGCGCTCAGTCACCTAGACAGGACGTACTTATTGGAAGGAATGACATGACTAGCATTTACATGGGTAATGCAACCTTCCTTTTTGTCTCTCTGTGCAAGGAAACCAATTAGGGTTTTTTTTTTCAATTTACTGCTAAGGTCTATTTTTGTGCGTGGGAGGTTTCTTCCTCAGTGGCATACTAAGATAGGAAAGAGATACTGAGGCAGTTTTTAAGAATTAGGGAGTGAGACGTGAAATGTGACCTGTTTTCATGTGGCGCTTTCAACTGTACATGGGCTTGAGACAAAGTTTGGTTTGAGTCTAACCAGGTTGCGAATTTGCTTAGAAAAAAAATTCAAAAGAAAACATTTCAATATCCGTGAAAGGAATTGACCAAGTTTTAGAAATGCTTTCTTGCTTCAGCAGAATGCAGACACAGTGTATTTTTAAGGTGCCTTTAGGTCTTCTGTGAATTTGGCTCTAGGAAACATGAACCGTGAGGGACTGACTGAGATGTGTCAATGCAGGACGTGACACCATGATTCTGACTCCTTGGTCCAAAAGACTGAATACTGCACTTGACACTTTTAAGAGTGGGTGTGTGGCCAATGTTTGACAACCCAGCCAATTTTTTGGACAAAGAAAATACTACCCAACTGCTGTCCCGAACTAACAACATAATTAATACCTGAAGTCAAGGATTTCCATGTTGATTTCTGTCGGTTTTGACAGATTAAGTTAATTGATATGTCATAATTTGGCAAAAGTTAATCATATGTTTATCTTTGTAACAAAGCTTTTTGCTGAATTGGCAAAAAATTCTTGACAATTGTGAGTCTTGGCAAAAGGGACGCATTCTGGCATACCGTACATGAATGCAGGGTGGCAAGCATACATGCAGATCTTTAGCTTTGGTAAGAATATGTGCCGAGTGCTCAACCCTTGAACTATGGTAGTCTAGCATCCATGCTGCTTTTAGCATCAATTTGCATTTTGCAATGGCAGTGTATCTGCTGGCACAGACTACAGCTGTAAGTAGTGGCTGCAAGCTAACTGGCCTCTTTGCACTGCAATCATGTGACACCTTTCTGACATTTAAAGGGGACCACAGATGTTGTTAATCACACTGCAAAGGCAGTTTATTTGCCTTTTCATGTGTGATGTGCTTGCGTGTACCCTCAAAACGAATAAGCTAGGTTCACTGTTTTTGTTGTTTTGCTCTGTTTTTTTTTTAAATTGTCAATGCCTCACGCGGATTTGCATCTCAGTTATTATTAATTAAGTGTAGCAGGTACATACATTTATGTTGCTTGGAATTTTCAGCGGGAGTTCTGTTGTAACTTCTTACATATATTTTTTCATGAAACTGCAGCATGTGCGGTGTGTGGATGTTGACTGGGGATAAAGTCAGTTTGGGTCTGTGGATTCTTGGAAAAAAAGAATGCCATTTACTTCATCCACTGATAAAATCGGGTATGGCTTTATATAGCTTGCAGGATATTTGGGGTGAAGGGGGTGGGGTGACTTAGGACATGCTTGTAAACATATATGTCCCCATTTAGGAATGGAAATGTTCCTGGCTTGCAATGATGGAACTGTTAGATCTAAACCTAAACCCTTTTTTCAAATCCCAAGTACAAAACTGATCAAGTTGTTGATGTGGGTGGGGGGGGGTAGCTTGGGAAGTCTGTATAGGGTTCAGTGGTATGCACTTGGTCGCAAATTCGTGTATAATCAACAATTATTGTTTTCATATTACTTGGGGAACTTGCTGAAGGGAGGGGAACACGTGCACCTGCCTATGTATCAAACCATGGAGTGCTTGGCCCCAGCAGTGAATAATAATCTCAGCACGTGCACTTTTGTCTTCTTTTTTTCTGTACATTGTAAGGTAACATTTCAACAACAGTGCTTGAATTGTAAAGAACAGTCCAAGTAAATTGTTTTACCCAAACCCTCCTGAACATCACTGTAGTTGAGACCATCACGACTTACCACAAGACCAGTCACAAGTAACAGGGTGAACAGTGACAAAGGAAATGCTTTTGTTACAGTTCATTTAAATTCCTTGTGACTTGAATGCAGACTTGAGGTGTTGGTCATGTGATGGTCTTGTATAGGGCCTTGATTGTGATGGTGGTGTTAGGAGATACTACTCTTGAAGAGCAAACCATCGTGACTAACTTTACTCAAGGAGTGTACATGTACATAAATTATAATGAAAGGAGTGCATACATGTTGACAAGAAGCCCCTTGAATTTCAGCACATGTACTGCATCTAGATCTGCTTTTGTTTTTGAGTTTTCTGAAGTTTGTTGTGACCTTTGATCAAACCTATTCTTAATACAACCACATTATCATGCAGCCACTGTATGCTGTTTTTATTGTCTGTCACATATTTATCCACTAGGTTGTTACAGTCAATTCATTGTGATTAATTTTGGGTTAAAGAGCATGACCTCAATCATCCAATGATTTGTACAGTCACAATGGAAATCCAACCCTAGATCTTGGCTACCTGCCAAACATCAGCTCAGCAGACTGAGGGCGTGAGGCCTGTGTAATAGCTCCATGGTGATATATCATTTGAAGGCTAATCCTATTACTTTGAGGATATGGGAAACTTTGAGACACTGGTGGCAGCAGACACACTGGTCCTTTTCAAGGTATTGCGCATGCTCAGAACTCAGTGTGCGTGCATGCTCAGAACTGCTGAAAGGGACTGGTATATGGTTTGTAAGCCACCAAGCATCTCTGAAGTCTCCCATTAATGGATTTTAGTTGGTTCTGTGACCCATTAAAAGACATTTTCAGTGCCAAAAAAGCCGGCCACTGGTATAAATAACAAGACATCTACATGGAAACATGTACATCTTGATTAAAGCTAGTGATAATGATATGAACCCCAATATTAACCATGTTGCTGACCTGTTGAACCATCAGATAAGAGCTTAATCACACACAGTCCAAAACATCAGGGACCAAGCCAAGGGTTGATAGCAAGTGCCAAATATGATTCCAAATCCGAGTTGGTTCAATCGCCATGTCAACTAACCTTTTCAAACAGCTTGTTAATTACCTAAAAAGTATATGAGAAAATGTGAGAAAAATTTCTGTTTGTACCGTGAATGACAAAGCTGTTTGTGTAGCAAGTGATGATAGCCCGAGTCTTAATTAATGCACACACAGTATACATGCATTTTCTTCCTCCACATTGTCATCATCTGTCTCTGATATTAACCTGGACTTAAATCGGGTAAAATGCTGCAGATATCTTACAGTACAAACATCTGAGTTTTGTCTTTGTTGCAGCAGGGGCAGCTGTGACCACATGTGCTTTAGAGGCTTCCCCTGACAGTGAAATTCCCGAGAGATTTGGGTTGTGAATCCTAGCAAGGCTCACTTTCGACAGGTCCAGCTAGCAGCACAGGGCCAAATTAATGCATCCCTCCCAAGTCCTCTGGGGAATGACAGGAGGGAAGTCTGTCACCATTTGTCACTGTCTGTGCCTTTTGGCACTGACCTATGAGTGGCTCAAACTTGTTTGCCAAAACTCAAGGCACAAAGGCCAACATAAAACAAAGCACAGTAAAACCTTAGCTTGCGCTACAGCTCTTGACATGGGAAGATTACAGGGGAGATCTGCTAGACTACTATGGAGGAAGGAAACCGGATTCCTCCATGTTTGATTTGATTACTCAGTGGACTACAACATGACAGGAAAAATATCCCAGTGATAGCACAATAAGAAATGGACTAGAACACACACCCAATGGAAAATTGAATGCAGCTAGTCCCTTACAATATAATTGAATTTGGTCAAGAAAAAAATGTTAACAACCAAGATGCTAAATGCTGAGCTGCAACTGATCATGACTATGTAATCCGGTGAGGTATACAACAAGACAGAGTGCTAGCTGTTCATTACAAGGCCAGCTGTATGGTAGAATGGTTACTGGGGTCATCTTGTGTGACCCTGATTCGCAGGGCAGTGGTACAGACTGGGAAGGGATGTCAACAAAGGGCTGAGCTTGGGGCTTAGACTTGTACCAATACAAGTCATGTTGTTATTCAAATAAAGTTTGATTGCAGCTTTGTTTTGATTTCTAAGCCACATAATGAATTCATTTTATCATCGGTGGTGCCTGGTACGGTACCCCAGTTTATACTGCATCTATGCAACGAAATTCTGTGAGGTTTGTAATTGTAATGCCCAACTTTAATTGTAGACCTGTATCCAATGTACCTGCAAGACGCCGAGAATTCTGCTTGACTATAAATAGAATATAGTGTCCTCTATGTGTCTGTTTGAAGAAAGTGCAGGTATTGCTTTCATTGCAGGGCATGAAAGGACTTGACAAATCTAACCCCAGGAAGTTGAACCATTGGTTTGATCCTAACCAGGAAGAAACATGTCAATATCCTGAGGTGCAGTAGTCTAGCTTGGTTGTTGCCTCAAGCACTAGGCAGTGACAACAGAGCTCCCGAAACAGATACACCAAAGGCTACACTGGCAGATTAACTGTCATCCTTGAATACATGCAATGCGCTTTTGGTACTGGCTGTTGTTAACTCTCTGTATTGACAACTTGCCAATAGGCCTAACTGGGCAGCACCTTTGTAGCTCCGTGATTGGCAAATACATGCAAAGACCATGTTTATAATATATCTTGTATTCATTTGTTTTCTTCGTTTAGACAGTGAACCTCATTACAGTTAGCAAATGTATGACAGTCATGCAGTTTCATGGATAATGTGTTTATAGTTAAGCAAAGCAAAATGCAAACCTATGCTCCAGCAGTAATTTACACTGTTAAAGTGGTTTCCTATATGCCCTAGCTGTAGAGGAAATGAAGGCTGGAGCAATAATTGGGCAACAGTTTGCATGCCCCTTTAAGCCAGCGTCCACAGTAAATATGCACCAGGTTCCAACAATTTGCAGCTCCGAACGACACTATAACTTTAAAGGTGCAAACCACACAGATTGTATTTGATATTTGATGGAATCATGCTTTTTGAGTACAAAATAACACACAAAAGGGCAATTCAAGAAAAGTCTCCCTCTGTTGAGAATTCAGCAGTGTGAATAATTTAACAGTTAAGAGTTTTCCACCGTGAAAGTTCAACTGTTATGCAGTTCTATCAGCCCTGCCCTAGCTCTCCGTATCATGATTCGTGTGTATGCTTAAAAATACATGTACATACATGTACATGTGTGCCCAAATATTCTGTAATCGTCGCTCCACATGACGAATGCAATGCGTGTGTGCTGGCATGAATCTTTTGGCACAAGCCTGTGCACTTCATGATCCAAGCCTACCTGGATTGGGTCCCTCCCCGGCCAGGGGCTAAGAATGACCTTTGAACTCCCTGATATCTATCCCCTGGTGATGGTGATGAATGTTTGATTATTTCTTGCTTCTTGAAAACATTTGAACCTGATATTTGAACATTTGAAAGGGCAATTAAGTTTAATGTTATTTTTTTTTATTTGGAAATAGTCCAATATTTATACTATTTTTCAAATTAGAGCTGGTTTTAAATGAATGAAAATGAAACTTGATATATCTGATAAAATGATAGGCCCTACTGAAATCAGTGTGACCTGCAGTTATCGTGCCAATCTACATGGAAAAATGGGGCACTTCATTCCTTCCTCCAGGATTGGATTTATGACATGCTTGAGATTTTTTTTTTCATTTGAAAGGAAATTGGAAAGGAAACAGGTCTCTAGGACAGAAATCAGTCTCGCAACCATAGCATCCATATTCTGATTAGGGTAGAAATCCCCATACTTTGAGCAGAGCTGGACTGACTCGGGTGGATTAAAAAAAAAGCAGCCGTTACCATCACAGCACCTCACAAATCCAACAAGATTCTTTCGAGTCTGTAAGTTATTCAAATGAGCTGCATCAAAAGCATGCCTTTGCCATTGTTCACCCTGATTCTTGTGACATCAGCTCTTGTAAAGTCATTATGGTCTTGTTTTGTCTCGATTACAACCGTGAAATAACATATAGCCTTGATTTGGGACAAAATTATCACTTCATAAATATGTAATCAAGTCAACTATGAGGCACTGTGTGGGTGAAGCAATACCTTATCACAGTTCACCAGCATACCTCATTTGTTACCACAGTTTGTTAAAGTACTTTATTTGTTACTTAATACTTGATATATCTTGTGATTGTCTTGTTTAGGGATGCTGCTCCCACCCTAAATCAAACAGGATATAGCCATGCATGCATACTTAGTGTGGACGAATGAAAAAATAAACTTCTTGTAGGAATACATACACATATTGTAAAGCACAGATATCGGCTTCGTATTTTCTATACGCTGCGGGTATTGACAAATGAACATTGGTACATTCTGCATGTATACCAATTCTCTGACTATGTAGTTTTTTAGTGGACCCCTTCCAATATGCCATTTTGCATATATATACCCTAGAAATAAATCAGCATATAGGAAGTATCATTGCTGTCGTGCATGTGAGATGTTTTATACCAGGGCCTTTGAAGCTGACCAATAGCTCAGTGTACAGGTGGATGGCCAGGCCGTGAGTAGAATAAATTAACCCAGGGTTACACGCAGTAAGTGCTTCATTGAGTCTCATGGTTTCATTATCATCATTCATGCATTGGCAGAGTACGGGCCCAGGCGGGATATCAATTGGGCAGATTTTCAGAAGAATGGGGTAACGTAGGGGCATGTCACGACATGTTCGAAATTTCAGATTTATGCCTCAGAAAAAAAAAAAAGATGTGAAGTCTACTGTCTATGGCTGGTGTGTCGGATGCTCAGATGGATGTAATGAAATTTTCAGTTGGTTGGAAATTTGCATGTTAATTGGATCTTTAAATAGAAATTGGTTTGACCGTATACGGGTGTGGATACCTTCCAGGCATGTAGGAATCGCTGTCTGTCATTTATTTGGAAACCTAGCCATTTCAGAAGGGGGTTAATTGGCGTGTGTGTCGGCTGTCTTCCTGTCATATCTGTAACTAATTATGTGGCAACCACTGTTGTAAGTTCTGCTATATAAAAAAAACATGTATGGGCCTGAAGTCTATAAAGAGTCATTGACAATTTTGAATGAACCTGGCATATGGCACCATTACAGCACTGAGCATTATATATATAGACCAGATTTTTTTCTGGACCCTGGTTCTGGACTTTACCTGGCTGCTGGGATACCACAAAGAATTAGTTACATCCTAAACTAATTTGTTTGGTGAAGCAGAGAATGTGGCTCATACAGTGTACCTCAAAAATAATCAGTGAGTCATCCAAACTGTAAACAAACAATATAAAAGGGGCCAAACGTTGGAAAAGTAAAAATCAGACAAACACGACATATGTGGCCTTATTCAGGAAGAACAACATAATGAAGTGTAATAATAATATACATCCACAGAATTCACCCGTTCTCGTGTTGCCTGTCTAATCATTTGGTGATTAAAAATACTCTTGAGTCCAGTTTTGTTTTGCTTGGGAATATGGCATTTTGATAGGCACAGATACAATTTGATGGCAAAAGGAGATAGAAAGAGCTGTCCTTTAATCTTGCAGTATTATTGACCTGATGATATATCAAGTGATCGAGATGCCGCATCCAGGCAGGGCTTCATAGTGAAGCTTATCAACTGATTTCATCGTGGGCACTGTGATCAAGTAGCAGGCAAGGCCCAGAAAATGCAGTGTACAATCTGATGCAGTTGTTACACCTGTGTGCCTAACATTTCAACTACATGCAAATTGCTTCTGCTGTACGTAATGGCATACCTATCTAAGGACAGAAACCAGTGTATAATTACTCTAGCTGTAATATTCATCTTGCAGCACTTGTTAAGCGCATAGTATGTGTCATTCAAAGGCATCACTGGCTTCCCATATGATCGATTTCAGTGGCCAATTATCAGGATCCCAAGAAAGAAAATCTCTCAAAAAGGTCAAAAATAATTTCTGAAATTGTTTGCTGCATTTTCAAATGCACTTAAAACTGTGCGCAAGGTGAAATAATGTGTAATTATCTGCAAAATAATCCCTCGGTCATCAGCAAAAGATTCCTCATTAGATAATTATATGAAATAAATCTGGAAATTATGCTCTGCCTGGAATCTTGACAGAAGACAGCAAATAAAAAGAATTCTGCTTGAATTCCTCTGTGGATGGACTATCAGGTATTTAGCTGTCAGCCATTACATGACTGTCTCACACACTGAGCTTTCAACAGATTGACAACAAATAGTAGAGATTTACACCCAACGGACAGGTGATTGTACACCGAAAGGACTTTTGTTGTAAACAAAATCTCTTTCAAAATACAGTAGCCTAAGATTCTCAACCAAATTTTTCCGCAGTGTCTGCCAAATGTTGAGTGCTAAAGGTTTTTTTTTGTTTTGCTTTTTTTTTTTACTACAATAGGCTCATCTCCAAGCTCAATTTTCTTCGACAGTTATCATTCCCCTAACTGGCAGAAAAATTTGACACTGTTCATTCAGGTTATTGATCGCTTATGCACCTGATGTATGACTTTGCAAGTTTGAATCGAAGTTTTGCAAAATGTTTTGACTGGTCCTTTGCACCTGGAATATCAATGTGACATGGCAACTGCCCCCACCCCAACCCTTGGGTCTGATGCACACCTGCTCCTAACCCAAAACTGTCCCCCTGATGACAGACCCTGTTGCCCTCATTTATTAGTTCCTTCCAAGTAAGCCTTGCACAGGACGCCTGACATTTGCTAAGCCAGCATTTTAGTGGGATGAGTTTCACTCAGTTTTATTTTTAGTCCATCGTTCCCAGTACTATTAAAAGAATCCGCAGCAAGTAACAAAAAATATGGACTGAACCCATGTTCCCCCCCCCTTAAATCTAGGTCCTGGATATAACCGAAACTTTGTCTGTCAGCACGGTCCCAGGTTGGTTCCATCAAGTGTTCTTTACCAAGCATCTGTCAGCAGGCAATAGAATCCTCCTCAAAGCTGTAGTCCTGACCTTTCATAGGGACCCCAAGTAGGTTCCAGATAGGTACACGGGCATATGGGCATGGTACATGGGCATTAAGGTGGATCTTGGATAGTTTTGAAAAAAAATGGGGATTGATTATCTTAACAACACTGAAAAGTCCAACCCCAACATTGAAACCAACTTTAAACCAATCTTTCTCTTACATTAGTGTTCATCTGTTGAATGTAGCTGCTACTGACGTTAATCAAAATAGATCTATGCTTTTTAAATTAACTGTACTACTCTCCTTAAAAATATTCAATACATGTATTTGGAATTAACACAGAGACCTGTTGAAGGGTTCTGCTCTAGCACAGCCAAATTAACTATAAAAAAAGAAACCAAAAAAAACAAGACCAAAAAAAAAAAAAAAATACCCACAAAACAAAACAATTCACTGTGCTTTCCTCTTTTTGAAAAGTAAGGAAGCTACTTTTTGTCTCAGGTTTAGATTTCTTAAATTACAGGAGCCTTAATTAGCACATAGCCATGTTGAAAGAAATTGCAGTAAATTTCCAGGTACAACTACCTCCACGATAAAATTTATCAAATACAGTGTCAGAAATTGATACCTGTGCAAAAAACTTCTGCTCCTGGTGAAAAACCAAGAATGAATCCTGTGCACATTGTATGGTTCAATACACACCTTTGCTTCAAAACTATTTTCTTTTTTGGGGGGGGACTCCGTCCCCTCCAGTCCCTCGGGTTATTTACTGAGATCTTGTGATCATGATGGGTCTCGCCCTCTCTGACACTTCCTGCTTGGAAACAGCTTGTCGACATTATTTAGAAATTTTCTTCCGTTCTGCATTATCTAATGGCCTGGTTGAAATTAGGCGACTGGATGTCAGTAACGAAACATCAGCTCTTGGTTAGAGTGACTCACTGTGCAGTACTTCTTTTCCCTGCACTTTCTAATTAGGTCATTTTTTAAAATTCAAATCTTTACAAATGGGGTAGGTGCAATGTAAGTCGGAGCTAAAAATGGAATACGGAATGACTGAAAGTGGTATATCCTGGATTGAGTGGGAAAGGATGATATTTAAGGCTATGAAAGTCCAACACGCAAGAAGTCAAGAAGCTTTATCAGATTTGGCAGAAAATTTCAACTTAACCTTTAGCCTGATTTATTAGTATTTGTGAAAATCTGTAGATTTTGTACAGAAAGAGTTAATAACACTGTACACCTAACAGGTCGCAAGAACTCCACTGGGTGCATGTATTTAGCGGGTACGGCTGATTTTCATCAGAATGAGCACAAAAGCCCATCAGGTGTTGGCAATATATAGTTTTTGTAGCCTGTCATACTGCTCTCTATATGTCACTGGGGGATATTTGTGTCACTACACTACAGAGAAGTAATATGTCACATGGTAAATACACGTGCACCGTAGTTCAACTCACTGAAATACAATGTCTGATGTGGAGAAACCTGTCAGAGGTGTGTCGCTTATTTATTTATTTTGGGGGACTGGGGGCAGGGGCTGTGGGGAATGTAGACTCATTCCACGTAGAATCTTACCCCATACTTTCACCACGGTACAAAAATTTCAAACTCTGTTTCCAAATTTCCAGCTATTTGTAAAATTTTGCCCTCTTAAAATGTCTGGCATTTAACGTGAATTCTATGATGTTGCTGTAGGTTTTCCAAAGGTTTTACAACATCAAGAACCTATTCATTATGTACAGAGTGATGTGTATGCACACAGCATGTAGTTTCCTTGCATGGTTGCATTTTAAAGTGAAGTGGTCTTATTTCCCACATGCATTGATTTTGAAAATGAAAAGCATAGTATGTAGACCAGACTGCTTGAATCTCTCCTGAGATTAACTTCCCAGCACACCCACATTACCATCAATATCAACATGATAAACAGATACATGATTAGCCATGCACTAATACATCTTCCATGGCAATTCCTACAATTTGAAAAACATTACAGCAAAGCTACAAAGATAGTAAATTAAGATTGCAGTAAGCACTTTCAGACAAAGCTAAAGTGATCCATTGAAAATTACATGAAAGCATTTTTTTAGAAACATAATTTTTCAGTTGGATAATATCTTTGTGCACCTATATAAATCTCAAATATGATTGGTCTCCTTTCGGTTTCAGGTGCATGATTTCCTGCAACTCTCTGTGTCTCCTGACAAGCCCCACCAATGTCACTAATGGGACTTGGTCATTTACAATTCATGTTGGCTGAGACTGCGGGGGCAGACATTTAACCAGACTGAACTTTAGCCTTGCTGTGCGTATACGAGTCGAGCGGCTCATCCAGATGAACTGCAGGATTTTTCAGACTGTTAACCCCTTTCCTTATACAAAGCCAAATTCTCCAATGCAACTCAGTCAGTGTTGACAATAAAAATATTCCTTTCCCTCTCCTTTGTCCAAGCTCTTTGGCACTAATTAACATTTTGGTCCGAACAAAGTGAATACTGCCGAAATTATAAACTGTGTTGCATAACATGAATAAGAAAAATCATTGTTTGAGAATACAGCTGCCAAGAGTTGAGCCAATACCTTCAGAATTTACTCATAGTTAATGAAAAAAATATAGAGTGTCAGCTTGACTATAATTCTGATTTTGGAATTTTGAAATTAAGTTGGATTTTTGCCTTGCCCGGCGTGTATTATAACACTGTCTACTCAGGGCAAAATATCCAAAATTAACATCTCCCCGCCGCAAATTCATTCTTGGAAATTTTGAAAATGAAATAGGTCTGACATAACAGTGACAGAGAAAACATTTTTTTACCATTTGTCAATCAACGGACAATTTGACTCCTAACCAGAGATAAGACACCACCAACAAACAAATGCAACGAGAGGTGTACATGCCAACAGCCATCATTGTTTAAAACTTGTGATCCGAGAGTAGTAAGAGTTTGCATCTAGCTGTTGGCTACACAGTTGTGTCCCCAAGCAAGCCACTTTACCCTCAACTTCCCTGTAATCAGGAAATATCCTGCAGTGGATGGGCATATCACCCGTGGAAACAGGTTGTATCAACAGTATGGTACCAAAGAAAGAGGAGATAAACATCAGACATTATGAGCAGTATAAGCTGAAGACAGACATGATTTACTTTGCCAGTCTTGTAACAGATCAAGCACACTCAGCCAGAAACCAATCACACTCACTCAAAAAACCCAATGTTTTACTTAAAACTTCATGTCAGTAATCGGGATGACCCGACAACTTGCATAAAACTGTATGGAGCAGTTTTGGACAATATCAGCATTTGAAACATGCCAAGATAATCAGAACTGGAGGCATTTGGTTCCCATCTTACATTTCAATTATACTTTCTGTGCATAAAACACCTGATACAGCAGGAACTTCTGTTTCTCTCAAATAAAGAAAGAAAGAAGAAGAAGAAAAAAAAAAAGAATTCACATTGTGTCTAAATATCTATGGCCGGGAATCAAGGCTTCAATGCTTGCAGTGAAGTATATTTTATTCATTAATTTTTTTATAACCAGAGACTGCATACAGCCCATTGTATAACGACAAATGAGCCCCTCAAAAGTATACATCAAATGCAAGCAAACCTGTCATGTCACTTCCCACGCAAGCAAACTATGCGTATTTGTCACAGTGAGCTCAGTCCAAAGCTTACAATGCGATAGTCACAATTTCCTGTCAGAGTTGTATTTATAGCAAGGAAGGAGGCTTGAATATCACACAAATGCCAATCATAATTTGCAATCCCTCAGCTGCATAGACAAGAACACTGCATTTCATTAAAATGCCATGTTTTTTTTCTTCCTTTTCTGGATGTGGGTGGGTGGGGGGGTAGAATATGTATTTTCCCTGAAAATGTTCAGTTAGGGTTGACAACATAACTAAGGAAAACGAACTGTTACCTAGCTCAATACAATAGAAACAAACATACACTGGTTTAGATGTACCGCTAATTCCCCCCCCCCCGCCCCACCCCCAAAATAAATAAATCAGAATGTGCATACGAGTACAGGCGTGTAATAGATGTATGGATATTCATTCCCACAATCTAAGTCAAAGCACAATCAAACGGACTAAAAACTGTAAATAGAATAATGTACGAAGAAGAAGCTGTCAGATTAAACAGAGTAAATATGGTTGGACTGAATCAAATGTGAGCTGAACGTCAATTGCTCTCCATGTAATCTGTATCAGCACCCAGTCTCACACATTCAGAGAGAGCATGAGGTCAGGTAAGACAAGCAACAAAGAACAGTACCACACGAACCACATGAATGGCTATTTAGTGCCCCACAGAGCTTGATGCAATGCCCAGGAGCGACACCACAGTGTACTACAAGTGCACTTGGCATCCACGCACACACTGATGCTACGGATTGTGCGCATTCAAATGAAAACTGGTTACGCATTGTCCATGCGGGTGTCATACTGTGAGAACGATTTTGGTTGGTAGGTAAATCTAGACCAGGCTTTGGGGGGAATTCTGTGAGGCATCACAACAATTTGAGTACACGTGCAGACATATTCCACGATGAATGTGTACACCATGTGGTCTCGGTGGAGTTGCCTTGCACAAAGTCCAGCAACAAGCATGGGTGCATGCATACAGCGTGTGCCACACACTGGAACTCTTATGTCGCGATCACACAATGTTTTCAACTGGAGGTCCCAGACCTGTTTATATTAGCATGCTTTGCAAAGCTTCACTGGGGCATATCGGGTGTCAATGCAAAGTGATTAAAGCCTCTAGCCAATGGCTTCCCAATATTCTCATAGGCTCACATGATATTTCTAGCCAAGGCCGCTATTTTTGGACACGGATGAATGCTGGACATTTTTATTCTCACATTGAAAGTTCACACACTTCTGCTTGAAATGTATATGGCTGTAAACGAAGCCAAGTTGCCACTGGAAAAGTCTCGGGAAACATATACATGTAATATAATTTCGGTATTTACGAATCTGTGGTTGAGTGTGGTGTTGCATTCAACATGTTCTATGCTATCAAGCTAATTAAATTGTTACTTCATGAACTCACAGCCAAGGCGACTCTCATGTATCTGAGTTTAAACAAAGTAAGAAAACTTGACAGCTCACTTTACAACTTTATACTCACCTTTTCCAGGGACTGTGGATGTTAGGATGGCCCTCAGAAGTTTGGGTTAGCAGTTGTGCTGCCTTTTTTCTTCAGCTTTCATTTCCACTAGCTGCAAGCCAGTGGAGAGGACTGTAGGAAGTGGACATCTTGTCTTGGTCTGGTAATGTTCCAATCTGAACTCAGTCTACTGGAAATCCATGGTGATTGCTGAATCCACCAAGCTTGTTGGTAACAAAAGGAATCAGCTGGTGTGGTGTTTTAATTAAGCTAATGTTGATCTTTCTTTCATCCAGGCCACGAGACTCACAGATTACTGACGATTTGGAGACTGCAGAGGCTTCTTGGTATCAGACCAATGATTAACATCAACCATCCAGTCTTCACTGTAATGCCTCTGAACTCGTTAAAAATCAGCTGTGGTAGTATCTTGCCCATATCTCTTGGAGCTCTACAGGTCTTTATCTTGATCAAGAAATATCAGAATCCCGAAGTCTTCTGACTTACAATTTCACACACGGAGAGTCTCAAGTGGAACCAGACTACTAAGATTCCTATCAATGACTGTCATTACCCCTTATATTATTTAAAACTGCCATAAAAAGCAAGAAACTCAGTAAACAATCAAAACAAAAGAAAATGCATAGCATGATAGATAAAGGGACACTATTTATTCAGCTTTAAATTTCTGGAACAAAATCACAGCCACATTAGTATCTGATAATCTCTTATCCAGACATTGCTGAAACACAATGGGCAACCAAAAATGTAGATGGGATACATTCAACCACTATGATTGGTCCATTTTACTACATCTGCTCTGCTATTGGTCTGCTGTCAAGTAAGTAACCAATAACAGTGCAGCTCTCATCCTTGTGGACAACCACTGCACTGACCAAAGATTCTGGATGTGGTATGAACCCCTGATAAAAACTGAAATTAAATGCTTTCCTTTGATTTTTATTCCGACTGCCAACTTTACTCCATATTTCCATTTTAATGCTGGAGATATTCCCCAAACAGATATTTGTGACAAGCAATTTTAAATGAAATAGTTTTATCTATACTTTACCTTCCATTTGAATACACATGTTTTTTACATTGTCAGTTAAGAGTACTACACTGGCCCATTTGCCAAAGCAACATAAAAAAAGAACAGTTTCCTCTTTAAAATTACAAATAAATGATTTTTTTTGTTTAAAGATGAATTAAAATGTTTTGTAGCAATCTTAAATCTTTCTTATTTTACACGTTTGATATCTTTTTCACAAAAGAAAGATCAGTGTGCCTTTAGGAAAACCAAGCAGTTTTCTTTTTACACCAGGAATAATTACATTGATTGGTTTCTCAAATCTTTGCTACAACATGCAAGTTACATTTGGCTGCAGAACTGAAAAAGCCTTAGGAGGCACAAAATAGTCTAAACTACGATGTGGGTAATTCCAGAAATTAGGGGTCCAAAAGTGTGACAGTTTTGTGTCCCTGTTACGTCTGACCTTTGTTATTTGACATGGAAA